CAAACAAAAGAACAAACTACCTGACAACACGAGCCCTACACCCAAGCTGTCACACCCAAAAAAAAAATCAAATTCAAATTCAAATGTTTATTCAGGTAAAGTACATACATACAAGGGGTGATACAAATATTGCTGAATTTATAGATAGAGCTAGTACATACAATGCCTAAAGCCACTATTACGCAAAGCGTTTCGGACAGAAAAAACATTAAAGACTAAAACATAATACTAATTGAGATTAAAGTATAAAATGTGTTGAGAAAATATAAAAATAAAAAAGGGGGAACATGACAAAAACAGCAAAAATACAATTTGGTCGACAAACAGCATTGTTTAAAAATAACAGACATGGGTTGACATTATAGGGATAAGGTAGGTTGCAGGGAGTTAATTAGGTAGTGCTTCGTTTTTATCTTAAACTGGTTGGGAGAGGTACAGTCTTTAACATGATTGGGAAGGTCATTCCACATTCTGGGTCCCTTGATTTGTAGAGCATTTCTAGTTTGATTAAGTCGTACTCTTGGAATATCAAAAAGGTATTTGTTTCTGGTGTGGTGCTTATGGGTTCTGTTACAACCTTCAATGAAGCTTTTGAGGTCAGGATTGGCATTACAGTTCAGCGTTATATATATATATATATATATATATATATATATATATATATATATATATATATATATATATATAATATATATATATATATATATATAATACACATGAGAGAATGTGCAGTGACTTAATATCTAACATATTCAGAGATTTGAGTAGGGGTACTGAGTGATGTCTGGGGCCAGAGTTGGATATTGTCCTAATAGCAGCTTTGTGTTGAGTAATTAGAGGACGTAAATGATTTTGGGTAGTAGAACCCCAAGCACAAATACCATACTTGAGATAAGGATAGATGAGGGAGTAATAGAGCGTCACCAGGGCAGGGCGAGGTACATAATATCTGATCTTAGAAAGAATACCAACAGTTTTTTTAACTTTTTTTGATATATTTAGAATGTGTCCCTGGAAATTCAGCTTGTGGTCAATGAGAACGCCACGGAATTTGCCATCTATTTTGTTACAAATTTGGGTATTATTTATCCTGAGATTTATTTGATTTGAGGATTTATTGCCAAACAAAATATAAAAAGTTTTGTCAATGTTGAGGGTGAGTTTGTTCCAGTTAGCAAAAGATGGACTTTATTTAGCTCAGTATTCACTGTGACATTTAGAGCAAGGGGATCAGGACTGTAGTAAATGAAGGTTGTGTCGTCAGCAAATAGAATTGGTTTGAGGTGTTGGGAGGCATTTGGAAGGTCATTAATGTAGATGAGAAAGAGGAGAGGGCCAAGTATGCTGCCCTGAGGAACACCAATGTAGGGTGGGAGAAATTGAATTATTCACAGAAACATACTGGAGCCTGTCAGTAAGGTTAGATTTGAGGTATTGCAGGGAGTGTCCTCTGACTCCATAATGATGTAATTTAAGAAGTTACCTTGTTACCCAAGTTACCTTGGTGATGTGGGTGTAGTAGGTTGGTCGCTGTGTGGAGTAGAGAAGCATAAACTGCAGGGGTAGAGAGGTGAGGTAGACGCAGTAGGTGAGTCTACTCAGAGGCTGCCAGCATGGATGAGACAACACCCAATTTACCGGCCCTGGGGGGGAGGGGGAATAGCAGAGCAGTTGAATTAGTAAAGGAGGTGGTAATGGTGATAGTAATGGTAGTGGTGGTGGTGGTAGTAGTTTTAGTGGTAGTATTAATTAATGGTTCTAGTAGTGGCAGTAATGGTAGGGAAGGTGGTAAGATGTGAGAAAGAGAAGTATGAAGCCACTACTTCTGGCGTCTATAACCGCAGCTGCTCACCGCTGTGTTCCTAGCTCATCTGTAGGGGGCTGCTCTACCTCCGTCTTCACTATGTGGTCCCCAGTAGCCCCCACCTCACCTCAATAGCCCCCAGTAGCCCCCACCTCACCTCAGTAGTCCCCAGTAGCTCCCACCTTACCTCAGAAGCCCCCCAGTAGCCCCCACCTCACCTCAGTAGCACCCAGTAGCCCTCAACTCACCTCAGTAGCCCCAACCTCACCTCAGTAGTCCCCAGTAGCTCCCACCTCACCTCAGTAGCCCCAGTAGCCCCCACCTCACCTCACTAGCTAGCTCCCAGTAGCCCTCACCTCACCTCAGTAGCCCCCACCTCACCTCAATAGTCCCCAGTAGCCCCCACCTCACCTCAATAGTCCCCAGTAGCTCCCACCTCACCTCAATAGTCCCCAGTAGCTCCCACCTCACCTCAATAGTCCCCAGTAGCTCCCACCTCACCTCAGTAGCCACTAGTAGCCCTCGCCTCAGCTGAGTAGTCCCCAGGTCATCAGTATAGCCCCCAGCAGTGGCCCCCACTCACCTCCGTAGCCCCAGTGGCAGGCCAGGATGACCCAGGCCACGGCCGCGGCCCACGCCGTCCGGTGCACTCCTCCGTAGAAGACGGCCTCCAGCAGGGACATCTGAGGGACGGTGCTGGGGGTGCCGACGTAGTTGTACCTGGCGATGCCGAGCAACACTGCCAGGGCCACCACCACGGCACTCACCCACCCCACCACCACCTGCCACTGTAACATGCACCGCCTCCAGTCACTGACACTCTTCCCCAGGCTGCACTCACAGTGTGTGTGTGTGTGTGTGTGTGTGTGTGTGTGTGTGTGTGTGTGTGTGTGTGTGTGTGTGTGTGTGTGTGTGTGTGTGTGTGTGTGTGTGTGTGTGTGTGGATGGGTCTGGGTGTGTGTGCGTGTGTGTGTGGGTGTGTGTGTGGGTGTGTGGGTGTGGTGGAGTACTCCTAGATGGTGCACTCACCTAGGTTTACTCACCTAAATGAGCCCACAAGGTCGAGCATCAGCTCTCAAACTCTGCATTTTGGTCAATAGTAGTTTTAATTGTCAATTTACTGGTATCTTATCATTAACCTTTAAAGCTGGGTATTGAGAAAGCTTCGACAACTTTTTCATCGAACTGATTCCATCTATTTATGATCTTTACGCTGAAGAAATTTGTCCTTACATCTCAATAAATTATTTGCGTTTCCAACTCTGTCCCCCTCACTCTGATGTTCCTCTCCATCAACAGTGTTTCTTTGCCTACTTAGCTAATCCCCTCTAGAATCGTGTATGCCGCTATCATGTCTGCTCTATTCCTTCTTTTCTCCAGCTCATGTACTTACCTGATTGTGCCTACTAGACTCTCTGCTCTAGGGACTCCCATTTTTTGTTGCCGGTCATTTAATATAATGGCTTCTGTTTCGACCCTGGGTTCTTCAGTGGAAACCAGAGGTCAAAATTGAACTAAATAACCTACGTTAGAGTAGCAAAACGCAACTCGATGTGTCTTTGTTTGTATCTTCCCTGCCAGACGTAAGACTATTCTTGTTTCTCAAAGAGCATTTAAAGACTGAGCTTGGGGTTGATTATTAAATAATAACATAGGCACCAACTATGTTTACTAATACTATAATCATTTGTAAAGTAAACCTGAGTAAACTTGGTATAGGGCTGCGGTACGATTAGTTGAGCAATCTGCCGGCAGCGAGCCAGCTGGGGGGAAGGAGACTGAGACTCCATCTTTTTTTTCTGAGCTGGCGTGGTGTGGACAGGATCCTCCTACCCTTCCTCCTCGTTTCCTTATTTCTGTGTCTTGTTCAAGCTAAGTATACACTGTGTACATTATTCAATCTCTGGCATACTCATGTTCTATGTGTAGAGTAGTATATTTTGTGTGTACTAGGTGTTTTTAGAGTTTATATTACTAGTTATTCTAAAGGGGGTTCCATTGGAACCACGTGGTCCCCCTACCGTCAGCTGACTCTAACTTCAAGTTATTCAATAGTAGAGCTTTACCCTAGCTTGTGTTCAGTGTAAAACCTTGTATCCTGCTTATGTGGACCAAGGCTTTTAACGTAAAGTAGTGTGGTAAAGTTATTATTATTATTGTTATTGGTGTGAATGTATATGGGGGGCTGTTAAGGGGTTAATAAATAAGTACATGAATTATAAGAGCATCGTTCTTCCTGTGTAGATCTTGATCATTCCCTAGACTGACCTTGTTGTATAGCCAAGTAGTCAGCACTACTTCTAGTTTCCATGGGGGCCGGGCCTTACTGATCTCCCCAAATAGATACATTTTTATTCTGACTGACCTTACCCCTGAATAGCACTAGATTCCCCATAGCAAGCTCACCATATTTTTATAACAGCTTCCAACCCACTAAATTTCTGTTATATCTACATTTACTCCTAGTTATTGTATAGCTTCAAACGCATACGCGTATCAAATGTATAGCCTCATCTAACTCATTCCATATACTCATCTCTCTGAGGGTAAGGAATGGCTTCCATACATCCTCACGGCACAGCTGCGTTTCCAGCTTCCATCCATCACCTCTCGATCTTTTGTTAAACATTTCGTTCACGTCTACTTTGTTAATAACCCTTAGGATCTTAAACGTCGCAGGCATGTCTCCTCTCTTCTGTCCATTATCTAATGTAGTAAGATCCAGTTCCAAGAGGGTTTCCTCGGGCACCAACACTGTTCTGGGAAAGATCTGGTGGCATACCTCGCTTTGTGTTTATCTCTGTGTAAATGTCCATATATACATATCAGACATTAATTCGTAAAGTGATAACATAATTCTGCATAAATATACGCATTGAATTGTAATGTTAATGTCTGTGAACGGAGTCATTTACTTCTATTGGTTTAATGTTAAGCTTGGCAACTATCAGTCTCTGCAGGGTTATTACGGGACATTACAAAAGTGTACTGACCAGCCCGGTAAGTATAATTTAGTCCTGACATAATGCAGGACGTGAATACGCTGTGTGAGTATACACCAAAGAAACATAGTATACCCGGTATGTATATATGTATGTATGTATGTATGTATGTATTATTATTATTATTATTATTATTATTATTATTATCATTATTGCTATTTCATCAATAGTATAACTAAATTATTTAAGTTAATTACAATTATTATCATATCACAGGACGTGTTACTGTTACTCAATAATAATATGAATATTATTATGACTTATTATAAAAGTATTTATATTGTTAATATTACCATGTTTATAACAACTTTATTAACCAATAGTCATCACATGTTTGATGTTTCTTGATAACCGTTCATAACAAACATTTTAGGGGAGACTTAAGAATCCTTGTTTTACAAGGAGACTAGAGAGAACGTACCTTGTTGAGGCGGGCGAGGGCGGGGGCGTCCGTGGCCCTGTGGAGGGTGTAGCCGGCCCACACTCCGACCATGTAGGGTCCGGCTCTACACCAGGGCATCAAGTACACCTTGTGGTTGTACTCCAGCATGGCCTCCGTGCTGCGAGGTCACACAGTCTCCTGTTAACTTTGTCGCCATCCCACTCTTAAACTATCTACTCTCATTACAAGGTGTATAGTTTGTTGTGCACCCTATGCTCGTCCTATGACTGATTGCTTACTGAACACTCTTTACTCATCCTGTGAATGAGTGCTCATTGTGAACCTCATACTCATCCTGTGAATGACTATCTATTGTACATCCCAAACCTTGCTTTTTAAAACTATTTGTGTCCATGTGTTCCCCTTTTAGGGTTCTGCTCTCTAATTTATTCTCAATGCACGTATACAAACAATGTACAATGTATACTCGTTCTCTCTCTCTCAAGTCCTGTAATACTTCTCCAATTTCTCCTGTTTGTCCCTCACGTTTCTTGCTAATTTCTTTTGTTTCATACAGTCAGTTCTCATATACAACACGTTGTTCCTCTGGTTCTACCTTGTGTTCGTGCACAGGTTGGCTGTGGTGTTGAAGCCGTGCGTGTTATCCCTACATTTCACTGAGCACCGTCGTGCTGCTTTTATTTTTTAACTAAGACTAGGGTTCATAAGGACTGTCAAGTGACGGGCTTAGTGAAACTGCAAGCAAGAGCTGTTATCCTACCTCGGCTCATCTGATGCCTGCTCCTAGAAAATCATTTATTTCATGAAAATGTACTTTAAAAATGTGCTTTTCTCCTTCCTCTCTCTTCTTAATTCTTAAATGTTCTCCATCGTCTTAAACCACAAGACAGAGATACAGTATGTTGAAGTGTCTGCCAAGACTTTATAAGCAGTGACGTCATACTTCCTAGGCCTATAGGCTTTGCATCGTATTGCATATTAATAGACTAATCAAAGTCAAAGTCCTCTACTTACTCATTCTGGAGGAGGAGGCTGGCTGGCCAAGTGTGGTACGCGCCCACCACCACAGCGGGGACCACCACAGACGCTGCCGTCCACGCCCACACCCACGCCCACGCTCCACCTGCAGCGCCCACACTCTTATAGGCTTGGGTTAACTTACCGCCCCTCCCCCCCCACTGCCCAAGATGAGGTGAGGCCATAGAGTCATGCTGGCGCCAGGTTAGCATGTATGGCGTGTGAAGGTGCGAGGGCACCACAACACCTGCCATGGGCCATGGGATATGAGGACCAAGGAAAGGTCGGTGCCCAACCACTTGCATTATCGGGGATCGAACGTCGACCAGCAAGAAGCGAGACCGCTTCTTGTATAGGGATTATACAAGAATATACCTATGAGTTCACAGTTCATTCTCAATTATTGTTTATCAATACCTCTCTCTCTTTCTCTCTCTCTCTCTCTCTCTCTCTCTCTCTCTCTCTCTCTCTCTCTCTCTCTCTCTCTCTCTCTCTCTCTCTCTCTCTCTCTCTCTCTCTCTCTCTCTCTCTCTCTCTTTCTCTCTCTCTCTCTCTCTCTCTCTCTCTCTCTCTCTCTCTCTCTCTCTCTCTCTCTCTCTCTCTCTCTCTCTCTCTCTCTCTCTCTCTCTCTCTCTCTCTCTCTCTCTCTCTCTCTCTGACAGAGACACTCACCACTCTTGGGCCAGAAGCAGAGGGGCAGGAGGACGAGAGGGGTGACCAGGTACAGCTGCATGTCCACGCCCGTGTACCAGCAGTGAGGCAAACACTGAAACACATCAACACACTCACTCAAACATACATTACAATTTGTCGTTATTTTTATATATATTGTACTACTGAAACACACACACACACACACACACACACACACACACACACACACACACACACACACACACACACACATACACACACACACACACTCACTCACTCACTCTTCCAACGTAATATGTGGGAGGTTTTGCTTGGCATAATGAGTAATTACCAAAGTGTAATTACCTAAGTGTAGTTACAGGATGAGAGCTACGCTCGTGGTGTCCCGTCTTCCCAGCACTCTTTGTCATATAACGACAAAGAGTGCTGGTGAGACGGGACACCAGGAGCGTAGCTCTCATCCTGTAACTACACTTAGGTAATTACACTTAGGTAACTACTCATTATGCCAAGCAAAACTTCTCACATATTACGTTGGAAGAGTGAGTGAGTGTGTGTGTGTGTGTGTGTGTGTGTGTGTGTGTGTGTGTGTGTGTGTGTGTGTGTGTGTGTGTGTGTGTGTGTGTGTGTGTGTGTGTGTGTTTCAGTAGTATAACATATACCAATTTAATTAAAGTTGTATTAATTAATTGGTGTACATATCCTCAGGCTTTATTATTTACAGGACTGAACTTGCACAAGGCAGACGACTTCATGATCGTGACAACAAAAAGACGAGACTGGCTGTGTGAGGCAATCTATCTCCTCATCATGGAGTTCAAAGGGTCAAGACTTCTCTATTAGTTTCATGACACTCTAAAATCTAGGTATTAATTATTTGTGGTTGCTACCTAGAGTATATTAATACAGGGCTCTCAAGGGGTGGTACCATGTCGTCCCACCCTACCCAGGGTCATGAAGAAGCAGTGCCATGTCGTCCCACTCTACCCAGGGCCATGAAGAAGCAGTGCCCTGTCGTCCCACTCTACCCAGGGCCATGAAGAAGCAGTACCCTGTCGTCCCACTCTACCCAGGGCCATGAAGAAGCAGTACCCAGTCGTCCCACTCTACCCAGGGCCATGAAGAAGCAGTACCCTGTCGTCCCACTCTACCCAGGGCCATGAAGAAGCAGTACCCTGTCGTCCCACCCTACCCAGGGCCATGAAGAAGCAGTACCCTGTCGTCCCACCCTACCCAGGGCCATGAAGAAGCAGTACCCTGTCGTCCCACTCTACCCAGGGCCATGAAGAAGCAGTACCCAGTCGTCCCACCCTACCCAGGGCCATGAAGAAGCAGTACCCTGTCGTCCCACTCTACCCAGGGCCATGAAGAAGCAGTACCCTGTCGTCCCACCCTACCCAGGGCCATGAAGAAGCAGTACCCTGTCGTCCCACCCTACCCAGGGCCATGAAGAAGCAGTACCCAGTCGTCCCACTCTACCCAGGGCCATGAAGAAGCAGTACCCTGTCGTCCCACTCTACCCAGGGCCATGAAGAAGCAGTACCCTGTCGACCCACCCTACCCAGGGCCATGAAGAAGCAGTACCCTGTCGTCCCACTCTACCCAGGGCCATGAAGAAGCAGTACCCTGTCGTCCCACTCTACCCAGGGCCATGAAGAAGCAGTACCCTGTCGTCCCACCCTACCCAGGGCCATGAAGAAGCAGTACCCTGTCGTCCCACTCTACCCAGGGCCATGAAGAAGCAGTGCCCTGTCGTGCCACAGTGCCCGGATTATGAAGGAACGGTGGCGCACTTCAGGGGTTAACAGTGAAAAACTTTACGGGAGGTACTGACGGTGGAACCCTCGTCGGTCTTGCCCATCTTCACAAGATAGGGAAAGAAAAGGTTGCTGGTGAAGGTGAGGTCCATCCACCAGGAGTGTCTACACCCCTTCAGGTAGTAGGTGGTGTAACCCTGCGACGCCGGACCCTCCACGAACAGGCCAGACACGGTGGCCACCACCAACACCGTCAGAGCAATGGGCGGCAGTAGTCTGTTGGGGTGGAGAAGGTTAGTGAGCTGGTCTCTGTCTGTCTGTCTGTCTGTCTGTCTGTCTGTCTGTCTGTCTGTCTGTCTGTCTGTCTGTCTGTCTGTCTGTCTGTCTGTCTGTCTGTCTGTCTCTCTCTCTCTCTCTCTCTCTCTCTCTCTCTCTCTCTCTCTCTCTCTCTCTCTCTCTCTCTCTCTCTCTCTCTCTCTCTCTCTCTCTCTCTCTCTCTCTTTGGAGAGATAGATCGACCTTAAAATATAAAAAAATATGTGTTCTATTATTATCTTTCTCTGCCATATTTACACTGTCGAGAACGCTGTCCTACCACGAGTCCTCTTGTAAGCCCTCCTGTCTACCCTGTCTACCCTGTCAACCCTTATCTGCCCTGTCTACCCATTGTGTTGTCTGCGATATTAGGACCAAAGGTGGGCAACGTTGAGATATTGACAAGATTGCTGGGATACCACTCACGGGCCACACTAATTACGAGAGATGACAAGAGCGGCCTAATCATCGCTCCGTCTCAAGTTGGTGATATGCAGTGATAATCTTGGTGCTTGGTGCAACACTAGTAATCTGTGATGACTGTGACCTTGGGCCAGGTTCACGAAAGCACTTACGCAAGCACTTACGAACCTGTACATCTTTTCTCAATCTTTGGCGGCTTTGTTTCCAATTATTAAACAGTTAATGGGCTCCGGAGCACCAGCAGGCTGTTTATAACAATAACAACAGTTGATTGGCAAGTTTTCATGCTTGTAAACTGTTTAATAAATGTAACCAAAGCCGTCAAAGATTGAGGAATGATGTACACGTTCGTAAGTGCTTGCGTAAGTGCTTTCGTGAATCTGGTCCAAGCTTGTTCTTGAGTGTGGAGCACTTACTGCTCCGGCAAGGTCGAGTTTAGCGAGCAGCGTCACCCACTCCTGGCGTGTGAGTGAACACACCACTACACCAGCAGGTACACCACCCACTCCTACCCACGTCTGTACCAGGAACCACTGTCACACTTGAGGGCATGAGAGAGTGCCTTTATTTCGTCAGCTGCCTTCCCCCTCCTGGCACTGGTACTTGTATGATCTTACTCAAAACAAAAAACACTAAAGTAATATTGCCCAACTTAATTTTAAAACTCGTTAGTTCTCTGTTGATTTCTTGACTTATCTCATTTTCCTGCAACATTATGATGCCGGTCACGTCTACCAGTCAACGTTACTTCCTTCCTTCTTGTTCCATCACACTCCTCCCTTTATACTCCCCTCCTGCCTCCCTGGCACTAACCTGACTATCCTGTGGATGTAGTAGTAGGGAGCGTTGAAGGTGCCGGAGGTGGCCACCAGGCGCAGGAGGCCCGTGCTCACCAGCAGGCCGCTCATCAAGAAGAACGTGTCCACACTCACGTCAGCGTTGGCGATCACCTGGAACGCTACTGGCTTCGACATCTGTACCGGGCGAGAGAGGGTTGGACAGCTGTACCGGGGAAGAGAGAGAGGGTTGGACAGCTGTACCGGGGAGAGAGAGGGTTGGACAGCTGTACCGGGGAAGAGAGAGAGGGTTGGACAGCTGTACCGGGGAGAGAGAGGGTTGGACAGCTGTACCGGGGAAGAGAGAGAGGGTTGGACAGCTGTACCGGGGAGAGAGAGGGTTGGACAGCTGTACCGGGGAAGAGAGAGAGCGTTGGACAGCTGTACCGGGAGAGGGGAGGAGGGAGAGAGCGATGGTACAGTGCAAAATTACCAGTTCCGTCAACAGAACCGGGGAATGGAAAGTGTAAGCTTACAACAGTACCAGTAGTGTAAGCTTACAACAGTACCAGTAGTGTAAGCTTACAACAGTACCAGTAGTGTAAGCTTACAACAGTACCAGTAGTGTAAGCTTACAACAGTACCAGTAGTGTAAGCTTACAACAGTACCAGTAGTGTAAGCTTACAACAGTACCAGTAGTGTAAGCTTACAACAGGACCAGTAGTGTAAGCTTACAACAGTACCAGTAGTGTAAGCTTACAACAGTACCAGTAGTGTAAGCTTACAACAGTACCAGTAGTGTAGGCTTACAACAGGACCAGTAGTGTAAGCTTACAACAGGAGCAGTAGTGTAAGCTTACAACAGTACCAGTAGTGTAAGCTTACAACAGGAGCAGTAGTGAAGGCTTACAACAGTACCAGTAGTGTAAGCTTACAACAGCACCAGTAGTGTAGGCTTACAACAGTACCAGTAGTGTAAGCTTACAACAGTACCAGTAGTGTAAGCTTACAACAGTACCAGTAGTGTAAGCTTACAACAGTACCAGTAGTGTAAGCTTACAACAGTACCAGTAGTGTAGGCTTACAACAGGACCAGTAGTGTAAGCTTACAACAGTACCAGTAGTGTAAGCTTACAACAGTACCAGTAGTGTAAGCTAACAACAGGACCAGTAGTGTAAGCTTAAGACCCAACAGAACTTATAGTCTGATCTTCAAGCACAAGTTGACTACAGGTTTAAGCTGACCCCACAGCAAGAAAGCAGCCAATGGTGCGTACCTTGACAAGGGCGAGTTCGTTCTGGGCGACACTGGTGGAGTAGGCGTACTGGTGACCCAACACCACCCACGTTATGGAGAGGAACCTGATGCCATGGAGGCAGGAGATCACCCCGGGGGACCTGGTCACCGTCACCTGGAACAACTTCTGCAGGTTCTCACTCACTGAGAACACCAGCAGGTAACGCAGTCTTCCTGGCAGGTGGAGGCGCTAAAATTAGTCGAACTGTCCAGCTGGAAGAGTATGGATGACTGTCTCGGTCTACTGAATTATGTGAAGAATTATGTGGACAATAATATGGTGGGGAGGTGCTGACCTTGTCTGAGGTGAGTGGTGGAGGCGAGGCTCCTGGTCCACAGGTCCAACACCGTCGCTGCCGCCAGCACCGCGCCTACGATGCTCAGTAGCACGCTGTGGGCGCCCATACACTCACTCAGTCACGTGCCTCTTCCTTACCCATTCTCACAAACTTCAAAATTCTTATATTCACAAACTGTACTTTTGGCATTTTTTTGAAGAGTTGCATTTGAAGGCCTAGGAAACATTTTAACACTTCTCTGAATTTTATGATTGTTAATTTATATTCAAATTTTATCATTATAATTATGCCTTTATTATTTTTTAGATGAAATTCTAAATTTGACATTTAAACTACGATTTTAATTCTGTAATTGAATAAAATTAACAGCTAATACTGTGTTTGTGTTCCAAAAATCGATATTTCAGTTAGTAACTAGTAATAAGATACAGTACTAAATTAGAATATAAATACTAATATAAAACTGTGTAGCAATCAGTCCTCTTAAAAATAACGTCGCTTTTCGCTGGTATGCGCCCTATGGCCAAAAATGGACGTAATTTGAAATGAAATCGGCTTACGAAAGTGATGTACTGTCCTGTTTTCTGTTTGAGTTCTCCGGCTTACTCGGTTAGATATGGAGAGAAAACTTTCAATTAACGTTTTTCAGGACGATTTGAAATTTTAGGAGAATGTCCTTCCTTCCTAACCTACCAGATGACCTTTAACTTGCTGTTGCAGGAAAAAAATCCAAAATTGATTTAACAAAAATCTTTAATTTTCAATTTACGTCCATTTTCGGCCATACGTGCAAACGGCCAAATTCAGACGTAATTTGTAAGAGGACAGGTCAGTTGCTATTGAGCCGAAGCTCAACCCCTGCAAGCACAACTAGGTGAGGTATAACACGTAGACAGACACACACTCTGACTGTACTGACCATTAGATGCCCGATTTATAATAATATCTCATTATCATGACAGGATGCCCCGGAGGCTTATCGAGGTCCCCCTAGGCCAGCCACTGACCTCTAGGATGTAACCTACAACAGAGGCGTCAGACGTGACCTAGCATCACGCCGTGCCCGGGAATCTAACTTGGGCCCAGTCGAGTGTGTGCCGACGGTGATAACCACTTGGTGATACCTGCTGGCGCCAGGCGACCACAACTGATGGGCACGAGGCGTCTGTACAGAGGAGGGGACTACAGCAGAGAAACAGACTCACAGACATGGAGTGATACGGAGCATCAGAGAAAAATTTACAGTCATTAAGTAATTACCCGCCAAACACACACCGAAACTACGACGTTGGTACAACGTTCGAACAAGTTTCAACACCTCCTAACCAGTTATAACAACCAATATAGCAAGTTGTAACAATGTTCTAATACGTCATAAACACGTTAAGCCAAAATGTAACAACTTTATTACAAGTTGTAGCAAGCGGAAAATAGAGACAGTTTCGGTTTGTGTTTCCAGGGTTAACCATAAATATACATGGATGTATAAACATACATGCCAGTGAGCTGAGAAGAGTCGAGGGTGTGATGGCGGTCGACCTGACACTGTATGGACCTGACGTGTTGACCAGTGTGGGCCAGAACGTCATCCACAGAGGCCTGGAGAGCAAAGTCCCTTCTTTGGAGGTTTGCGGACAGATGAAGGGGAGATACAAGTGGGAGGAATGTAAGTGGACCATCAATCTTAAGTTCAATGAGTGAGTAAGTGGATAAAGTGGAAGTGGGTCACTAACCTTGAGCTCAGTGGGTGTGCAGGTGGAAGGGATGCAGGTGGCGTAGTAGAGTAGGCTGGCGTACAATGGAAGGTTGGCTGAGACTAGAGGGGTCCTGGCTGCCGGACCTGACCCACTAGTGTTGCCTGACGGCCTGTGAACCATACAACCAATCATAGTGCAGGTTCCTCTACGGCCCAGTGACCTTTTCACCAATCTCAGACCAGAATTTTCATCATTAAGACGAACAATCGCCAATCAACGACCGGCATTTGCAACGTAAAGAAGATCATTTATCAAGACCGAGTCCTGTTTGCTCACATTGTTCACTAACCACAAATCAAGTTTTCCTTCCTCTCAATGTTGCTAATTCGTCAGTCATAAATTTATCGTCTTTTATGTTTTCCATCTTACTACTTTATCAAACATGAATCAACCTGAGCTGGTGTTCAACACGTGTAAAGTGACCAACACCTGTACAGGTGTTCAACACATGTGCATGTACAAGTAGTCATGTATTTCGATGTTCAACTCATGCAGGTGTTCAACATATGAACAGATAGTCAACACTCTCACTCTCTCTCTCTCTCTCTCTCTCTCTCTCTCTCTCTCTCTCTCTCTCTCTCTCTCTCTCTCTCTCTCTCTCTCTCTCTCTCTCACTCTCTCTCACTCTCTCTCTCTCTCTCTCTCTCTCTCTCTCTCTCTCTCTCTCTCTCTCTCTCTCTCTCTCTCTCTCTCTCTCTCTCTCTCTCTCTCATTATTTTTCATTAATTAATTAATTAAATTCATTAATTTTCATTTTGTAATAATCACAAAGCATTGCGATTATTACAAAATGAAAATTAACAAGTATACGTCACTTTAACACTGACATGTACTTGCCCGCTCAGAACCATTGCAATAAGAGTTATGCATCTCGCATAATTTCCAACCAATGACAAAATATCAATTTTCCAATTTAATATCAATTAACTATCAATTTAATTTGATCCTCAACTAAAACATTGGTAAAGTATTTCCTTCATCAATATATGCACACTAACACCACTTTGGAACTCACCCATAGTTGAGAAGGCAGTACTGTCCCTGGAAGCTGGCGTTGAGAACCAAAGGAGAATCTGACTGGAAACCACGAAGACCTGGGTGCAAGTCTGGAACACGCTGCTTGAGGTTTTGTGGGCTGTGTAAGTTTGAACGAGAATTTGTTGTTCTATGGATCTTTCGTAGGTTGTCTTTGAGCCCCAAAAAGATGCCTTCAAGGTCGAAAGTGTTGTCATCGAGGCCTGGACGATAGTCTTGAAGCTCTGGAATCTGAGAGGTGTTCAGAGTCTGTGGACGAACGCGGAGGTTGACACATTCGCTGAAGAAACCGACCAGTTTGAGGTTTCCAAGCATTATGCCGTCAGCAAACTTCCCCCAAGAGTCAACCACTGGAATGAGAATAAGAAAGTCCGTTAACACAAGCCAGTAAGTGACTCATAAGTCTATGTTTGTCATTAGACTAATTAGAAACATTTAATTTTCCTGATTTGAAATCGTTTGTCTGTAATTTTAAGAACTATTGTAGTATGTTAGGTTTCATTGGACGTTAATACTAAGGTAATTTTATCAGTATCAACAACACTTTACCCTGCCATAACTGTAAATGTTTGTATTAAAATCCTTTTTGGTTTTATCTTTTCTTGATGGGATTTATTTTATTTACTTCTCTGTGGGGTTGTTCAGTACTGAACACATTTCGGTTTGTAATTTACTTTTTCAACTATAGTAAACAAATAGTATGCAAAATACTATGTGAGGCAGCACCAATGAGTTTTACATTCAAGAAGGAATTTCTAGGACCGAAAGATATACGAAAGAAGCCTAATGTTGTTGTTTTTCTCTACTGCTAACTGCCCGAAACAATTCAATTTCTTTCTTTATTATGCACCCCATACCCATCCCGTGGGCGGTGGTGTAAAGGATTACAGAGGCATATAATCGGTTCAGGAACTGAACCCTCTAGTTCGTTTAGCTAAGCAAATAAGAATCTTTTGACGCTAGTTACAAAATTATTAATGTTATATATACATGTACACATACTCATGCATACATGTACATATACATAAGTATACATATATACATACACATACATATTTAATCACCCATACAAATACGCACATCAATAATCTTTTGTGTCACAAGTGATTCAACAAGAGGCTCACAACAGTCACTATACAAGGCACTTTACATCTATGATGAGTCACACAGTTACTAGTCTTGCTCCACACCCACCCAACTGGGCGGCAGCTTTACAGTCATGTGATCCACACCCACCCAACTGGGTGGCAGCTTTACAGTCATGTGCATGCATTACCTACAGTAAGCAAATTTTGGATACTTCGCTAAGATTTCGGGCAGCACATCATTATGAATGAAGTACTTACACATTTCTTGGACACTATTGATGGTGTTATCTCTAAATTCCGCGATTTTTTCACATTCCATTATATAATGACGCAAAGTATGCGAATAGTTCTGCTGACAGAGTTTACGTTTAGTCAAATCTACATCAGCAGATGTTACAAACTGCCAGAGGTACTTGTAGCCGAGCCTAAGCCTAGCAGTGGTAACATCTAGAAGTCTGCTAACCTTATTGGATGACCCATAGACGTGCGGTTCTTCCTGCATAATAGAATGATGATAGATAGAGTAACTGGTGTGAATTTCACTTTGCCTCAAGTCTCCGAAATTTAGTTGATGTTCCCGGAATATTACTGCCCTCAGGCTGCTCAAAGGCAGTCCAAGTTGGTAATCAATTCCCTCTTTACGAGCAAAAGTCTTGGCTAACTCATCAGTTCTATCATGCCCGAAACGTTATGCGTGTTAGTGGCTTTACATGAATGTAAAAATACCAATTTTATGTAATCTCGCCAACCCATTGTACCTTCTTGCAAATAAATTATTATTATAACTGATCACAATTAGTCATTGTTACTCCCGTCTCTCTTTATTTACCTTTATTTGATCTATAATATGCATCCAAAACTTGTAATTCCATTGTATTCACTGTATTATTTGGTGAATTAACAAAGTTGTTTAAGTTAAGGTTGCAATCTGAAGTTGGAATATTTTGTGGCATTCTTCCTTAGCCTTCCCTTCCCTAGTATCAATGACATATTTACATGTTGCACAACGCATCTTGTTCCTAATGTCATTTAGGCAAGGGAAGGAGAGCAACGAGTGTCGTCCTTGTATAGTCACAATCACAAACTTTACTCATATCATCTTACATAAGTCACTACAGTAATGGCTGGAGTTCATGGGTACACACTGTTCTACACCACACATTTCTGAAATAAAGCGAGTAACATTTACCTTATAATTTTGGAAGGTGAATTAGAAAAATTATATTACTTTAAAGTATTAGGAAAACAGAGCACATACGTAGTGTAATGTAGTGGTGAGTGTCGCCACACATTACCGGGTGGCGGGAGACCGTAGTGTAGTGGTGAGTGTCGCGACACATTACCGGGTGGCAGGAGACCGTAGTGTAGTGGTGAGTGTCGCGACACATTACCGGGTGGCGGGAGATCGTAGTATAGTGGTGAGAGTCGCGACACATTACCGGGTGGCGGGAGACCGTAGTGTAGTGGTGAGTGTCGCGACACATTACCGGGTGGCGGGAGACCGTAGTGTAGTGGTGAGTGCCGCCACACATTACCGGGTGGCGGGAGACCGTAGTGTAGTGGTGAGTGTCGCGACACATTACCGGGTGGCGGGAGACCGTAGTATAGTGGTGAGTGTCGCGACACATTACCGGGTGGCGGGAGATCGTAGTATAGTGGTGAGTGTCGCGACACATTACCGGGTGGCGGGAGATCGTAGTATAGTGGTGAGTGTCGCGACACATTACCGGGTGGCGGGAGATCGTAGTATAGTGGTGAGTGTCGCGACACATTACCGGGTGGGGAGAGGCCGTAGTGTAGCTGTTTAACCTTGAACAATGTTAACATAATCCACGTTTGAAAGTTTAAATTAGTTTGTGACCCTGATCATGTTACGCTATTCGATGTCAAAAGATTGTTTCTATCAGTTGACCAACTTCTGAAGTTTGTTAATTGCTTGATAAGTAAAATAAAGTGCCTCATTGCCCTTTATGAAGATGGGTGTGACATTTACATATTCCACTATAATGGAACTACAGTATTCAAATTTCGAGTTATTCGTTAAAGATTATAATATAGGAATGTACAATTTTGTTTTTAAATAGAGGTGCTTAAATGTAGTGTGATAGTGTGTACTATAGTAGCAGTAGTATGATTTGTCTACACTAGCACATGATGAGATCATCACAGCTACTATAGTAGCAGTAGTATGATTTGTCTACACTAGCACATGATGAGATCATCACAGCTACTATATAAATCTAGACAAATTTTCGTCAGTGATAAAAATACTATCAGTAAAGGGCTATAATTTGTCTACAGTTAATAAAATTTAAGAAAATAATTATAGCATTTTTGCTATGTGTGGTTCACCAGAGAGTATGTTACTGAAGCGACCATACGAGTCATAAATACTCATACTCCGCCCAAGTAAAACAGAAACAAGCAACACTTAGTGGGCCAGCCAGAGGCTTAGGGCTCGCGCGGGAATATCCCTGAAAAAAAAGAGAGTAGCAGCGCACCATGACTGGCAATGGTGTCTCAGTCATGGCTTGGTGACACACATTCAACACTGGAACTCAAGTTTCACGGATAGCAGTTGCCACTGCAAGAGGCCCCTTACCCTCTCCTGACACATACCCAGACACCTCAGAGTGAGGATCTCCCTTCCCTTATCTTCATAGAAGGGTCAACAACGTCATTTAGCTTATCTGAGTGTTAACGTTATCACAAAGAGTGAACCAATTTCACAGTGATAATTACCGAAAAAAGATATCGTATCTTTGTTATCAAGTATGTAAAGGTTTAGACCAATGACCCCTCAGACTGCTTCTCGCTAACACGCTCCAGTGGGAGGGAGGGAACTATCAGAGGAAAGCGCCAAGCCATCACGACTATATAGCACTTGTAAGGGGTCAGGATAAGGATTTGGGATGGGATTGAACGTCGACCTGCATGAAGCGAGACCGTCACTCTACCGTCCAGCCAAAGTGGCTGGGCACGCTCCAGGGGGAGAGAATTAACGCCCACATTCATACACCCATACCTACATTTAAGAGGCCAGAGAGTGCCAGCTTTGAGGAGGTAGTTCAACTTGTCGAAAGCTGTGTAGAGTGCCAGCAGGTCCCTGCGGCAGTCAGGATTGACTTTGGCTGGATCAGGCAGGTAGAGTGGTGCCAGGTTCAGGAAGGCACTGGGGGCCAGGGCCACTAGTGAGCCCAGCGACCCTGGGCCACTACCCAGCGCAGACCTCAGTATGTCTTCACCTCTGTAAGGTATGCGTACATCAGTCAGTTAATGATTAATTGGTAATGATCACCTGTCCAGGCAACACTCTCCTTACACACACCTGTCCAAGCAACACTTCTGTCTTATACACCTGTCCAGGCAACACATACACCTGTCCAGGCAACACATACACCTGTCCAGGCAACACTCTCCTTACACAGACCTGTCCAAGCAACACTTCTGTCTTATACACCTGTCCAGGCAACACATACACCTGTCCAGGCAACACATACACCTGTCCAGGCAACATATACACCTGTCCAGGCAACACATACACCTGTCCAGGCAACACATACACCTGTCCAGGCAACACATACCCCTGTACAGGCAACACATACACCTGTACAGGCAACACATACACCTGTACAGGCAACACATACACCTGTACAGGCAACACATACACCTGTACAGGCAACACATACACCTGTACAGGCAACACATACACCTGTACAGGCAACACATACATCTGTACAGGCAACACATACACCTGTACAGGCAACACATACACCTGTACAGGCAACACATACACCTGTCCAGGCAACACATTCACCTGTCCAGGCAACATATACACCTGTCCAGGCAACACATTCACCTGTCCAGGCAACACATTCACCTGTCCAGGCAACACATTCACCTGTCCAGGCAACATATACACCTGTCCAGGCAACACATACACCTGTCCAGGCAACACATTCACCTGTCCAGGCAACATATACACCTGTCCAGGCAACACATTCACCTGTCCAGGCAACACATTCACCTGTCCAGGCAACACATTCACCTGTCCAGGCAACATATACACCTGTCCAGGCAACACATTCACCTGTCCAGGCAACACATTCACCTGTCCAGGCAACACATTCACCTGTCCAGGCAACACATTCACCTGTCCAGGCAACATATACACCTGTCCAGGCAACACATACACCTGTCCAGGCAACATATACACCTGTCCAGGCAACACATACACCTGTCCAGGCAACACATTCACCTGTCCAGGCAACACATACACCTGTAGAGGCAACACATTCACCTGTCCAGGCAACACATACACCTGTCCAGGCAACATATACACCTGTAGAGGCAACACATACACCTGTACAGGCAACACATACACCTGTAGAGGCAACACATACATCTTTACAGGCAACACATACACCTGTCCAGGCAACACATACACCTGTAGAGGCAACACATACACCTGTAGAGGCAACACATACACCTGTAGAGGCAACACATACATCTTTACAGGCAACACATACACCTGTCCAGGCAACACATACACCTGTACAGGCAACACATACACCTGTACAGGCAACACATACATCTTTACAGGCAACACCCAATACATACTTATCTAAGCAACAATCTCGTCTTCATAGTTTTTTACCTTTTGCTTTAAAACTGCACTGTATCTATTGCTACCCAATCTCCCAATCTTTATGTACCCAATCTGAACATCTTTATCATTGTGATCATTGCTGTCTTCTTATATGTACTGTCAATCTGCTGTATGGTGTCTATTAATCTTGTTTAAACTACCAATCAAGCTGTCAATGTAATCAATCAGAGCTTTAATATACCAATGTGCTTTAATATACTTACTAATCTCTCTCATCTCATTTTTTTTCTTGCAATGTATTTGTTATCATTTTATTAATTCTGATAGAATTTACCTACTTAAAATTATCTGTTAGATTAAGGACCTGCCCGAAACGCAGTGCGTACTAGTGGCTTTACAAGAGTGCAATTACTGTACCATGCTATGTATTCTCACAAACCCAATGTACCTTCTTGTATATAAATAAATAAATAAATAAATAAATAAATAAAACACACACCTGCCCAGGCAGCACTCTCCTCGCTCACAGCTGTACGAGCAGCACTCCCGTCACACACACACACACCTGTTGAAGCAACACCTGCTTCAACCTGGCCAGGGAACACAAGATAGTATAACACCACACAAAGTGCCTAACCTGGCCGTTTCCAGGACGCGTCCCCCACGAGACGACGTGTCTTCCAGAGTCACCTTTCTCAGCTCGTCTCCAGCCCCCATGGTACCTGCTCTCACCCCGCCCCCGAGGCCACCGCTGGGGGCAGGTGGGAGGAAGCCTCGGCAATGTGGAAGCAAAACAAGGAAGATCAATGCCAGAATCGCCGCCATAATGGTGATGACAGCTGTGTGTCTAGGATTGAAGGCACTCTACTGTCAGGATGGCTGATGGATCAGCTCACTGTTCCAAGTTATTCTCCGAATGTTGCAGTAGAAGATCTGCTGACCCTAATTGTCGGTGTGCAGGCTCCTGGTGAACCTCCTGTCTAGTCCGTCAGCTGTAATGGTTGTCTTCCTCCTCACCTCTAAGTCATCCACTTCTGTCTTCTTCTTTTCTTCCCCGTCAATATCAACCCTGTTTTTCCCAACAACTCCAAGAGTGGAGCGGGTCAGCAGGCAGCGTGTGGCGGTCCTCAGCACACAGCCAGTGATCTAGGTCCGCCGTAATTGTTTTCCCATCTGCTGGAGGTAATCTTATCAGGTGTCCCGCCTCCCTTGCGTCGGAGACTCCCGCTCTAGACCATGGCGCTCTCAGTCTTCACCATAATGCTCACGTTACACCTCCATAATAATCAACACAAACGTATTTATATTCACAAAACGAAAAAATTATTTAGGATTATGAATAATTTATAATTATAATTATTAGTATTATAGTATTTGCCTTAGGGACAGTAGAAGGAGTCGTTAGTCGTGTCTGATAACTCAGGTGTTCCAGATGGTTCCGGCTTAGTGTAGTGGTTAAGGGTTATTAGCCTCTGGAGGTTAATAACCCTTAAGGCCACCACAATAGCTCACTGACCAGCCTAGCTGTATACTAGTATATACCAGCCAGTATTCACAAGTATACTTCAGCCCTACCTGGCGGTAGAGTTGACGTGGGTCAAGTTGGCCGCCTTGGCGGGAGGTGGAGCACACCATTACCCACACCTGAGAGTGGCCCGGAAATAAGGCTCGGTAATTAATTAGTGACATTTAGATAAAATGGGAAAAGCTTGACAAATGTTGTTAAAGTTCTTGTTGTCACACTTGGGTGGATGGTAGAGCGACGGTCTCGCTTCATGCAGGTCGCCATTCAATCCCCGACCGTCCAAGTGGTTGCTGGGCGCCCATTCCTCTCCCCCCGTCCTATCCCAAAACCTTATCCTGATCCCTTCCAAGTGCTATATAGTGGTAATGGTTTGGCGCTTTCCCCTAATAATTCCCTCCTTTTTGTCGTGAAGTTCCTGTTCAGTAAGTAAATAAATAATAAATAAATAAATAAATAAATAAATGTTTATTCAGGTAAGGTACATACATACAAGAGATTTTACAAAGATTGATGGATTTATAGATAGAGCTAGTACATACAATGCCTAAAGCCACTATTACGCAAAGCGTTTCGGGCAGGAAAAACATTAATGACTAAAGCTTAATACTAATTGAGTATAAAGAATAAAATGTGTTGAGAACAAATAAAAATAGAGATAAAAAGGGGGGAACATGGCAGCACAAATCCAATTTGGTCGACAAACGGCGTTGTTTAAAAAAAACAGACATGGGTTGACAATTGAGGGGCAAGGTAGGTTACAGGGAATTTATTAGATAGTGCTTCGTTTTTATCTTAAACTGGTTGAGAGAGGTACAGTCTTTAACATGGTTGGGAAGGTCATTCCACATTCTGGGTCCCTTGATTTGTAGAGCATTTCTAGTTTGATTAAGACGTACTCTTGGAATATCAAAACTGTATTTATTTCTGGTGTGGTGCTTATGGGTTCTGTTACAACCTTCAATGAAGCTTTTGAGGTCAGGATTGGCATTACAGTTCAGCGTTTTATATATGTATAATACACATGAGAGGATGTGCAGTGACTTAATATCTAACATATTCAGAGATTTGAGTAGGGGTACCGAGTGATGTCTGGGGCCAGAGTTGGATATTGTCCTAATAGCAGCTTTGTGTTGAGTAATTAGAGGACGTAAATGATTTTGGGTAGTAGAACCCCAAGCACAAATACCATAGTTGAGATATGGATAGATAAGGGAGTAATAGAGAGTCACCAGGGCAGGGCGTGGTACATAATATCTGATCTTCGAAAGAATGCCAACAGTTTTCGAAACTTTTTTTGATATATTTAGAATGTGTCCCTGGAAATTCAGCTTGTGGTCAATGAGAACGCCAAGGAATTTGCCATCTAATTTGTTACAAATTTGGGTATTGTTTATTTTGAGATTTATTTGATTAGAGGATTTATTGCCAAACAGAATATAGAAAGTTTTGTCAATGTTAAGGGTGAGTTTATTGGCAGTTAGCCAAAGATGGACTTTATTTAGCTCAGTATTTACTGTGGCATTTAGAGCAAGGGGGTCAGGACTGGAGTAAATGAAGGTTGTGTCGTCAGCAAATAGAATTGGTTTGAGGTGTTGGGAGGCATTTGGAAGGCCATTAATGTAGATGAGAAAGAGGAGAGGGCCAAGTATGCTGCCCTGAGGAACACCGATGTTGATGGGTAGGGTGGGAGAAATTGAATTATTCACAGAAACATACTGGAGCCTGTCAGTAAGGTAAGATTTGAGGTATTGCAGGGAGTGTCCTCTGACTCCATAATGATGTAATTTAAGAAGGTTTTGGTGGTTGACAGTGTCAAAAGCCTTACGCAGGTCCACAAATAACCCAACAGGGAACTCATTTTTATCAAGAGCTACATGAATCAAGATAATTATACTAATAAGTGCATCGTTAGTGCTTTTTTGGGGTCTGAAGCCATATTGACAAGAGCTAAGTATATTGTGTTTGGCTAGAAAAGAGTAAAGCTGCTTGTAGATTAGTTTTTTCAAATATTTTTGACAAGTTAGGCAGGATTGATATAGGTCTGTAGTTGTTAACATCTGTGAGATCACCACATTTGTGTACAGGGGTAACTCTCGCTTTTTTTTAGGATATCTGGAAAGGTTTGGAGTTCAAGTGACTTGTTGAAGAGCAATGCAATAGCAGGGGCTAAAGTTCTGGCGGCTTTTTTGTAAATTAAAGTTGGTATCTCCTCAAGGGCACTAGACTTGGTTTTAAGGGAAAGGATTATCTCATTGACGTCAGTGGAATTAATAGGCTTTAGGTACAGAGACTGTGGATAGTTACCTGTAAGATAGTCCTTGACATCAGTACTGGAAGATGGAATATCATTTGCAAGAGATGACCCAATGGAAGTGAAGAACCTATTGAACTCAATAGCAGAATCTGAGGCTGAAAGCTGACCATCGTTATTGGACAGGAGTGTTGGTTTGTAATTTAAAATCTTCTTTGATCTCAATATTTGTGAAATTGTGCTCCAAGTTTTTTTAATGTTGCTCTTTATTTGGGCAAATTTATCTTCGTAGTATTTAGCTTTGTGATGGCCATGGCATAAAAAGCAGCGAGGTGCAGCAGAGCACCCACCGTTAACTCTGTCTGTATGGCCTGTTTTGCCGCAGTTTGCACAGCGTGCTGCATTACGGCAGGTCAGGCGACTGTGGCCCAATAGATGACAAGCGTAACATCGTAACACAGGGAAGTTGTAGGGCTGAACCTGATACGAGGTCCTGTGTAGTGCCACCCGGTCAGGGAGGGGCCCATCGAACTTTACACGGACCATGGATGTCGGCCCTGCTGCTCCGCGAATCCTGGTAACTTCTAACAATCCCGCTGATGCACCCTTTAACACCTGCAGAGCGGCCTGGATGTCATCCACATGAACACTCTGGTCAATTGGGCCAATCTTCCCATACCGGACTCCTCCTCCTGCGACAATACCTGTCGGCACCTGACAGGCCAGTCCCCCAACTTAATAATGTCAGATACACGGATGTATGACAGAGCCTCCTTTCTGATGTGTAGCTTCAGTGCTGCACCCCTACCCAGGGTACGTATGGTCTCAGGCAGGCAATGTGGCCACAATACCGAAGCCTCAATTGCTGCACCTAAGGTACGAGAATTTGCAAACACGCACTGACCTGATTCTGACTGGATTAGGATTACCACAAACGAGGAACGGGGTACCACAAGACTAAGGTCTTCTGAAGGTGAAGACATCCTCTTAGCATCTCGCTCTGGGGCAGTATCAGCCGACTCATTTTCCAGCAGACGTTTTCCTCTCTGGGACTTTAGCTGTCAATATCCATGGCGCCTCCGCTCGGGGAGGCGACCATTAGGAAGGCTCTGATCTTTCCCGTGCTGTGAGCCCCTGGGTAGCTGCAGTGAGCACACACTGGCCCAAAGAAGCCAGCTGAATTCAAACATGAGCTCCAGGTAAGGTGTGGAAAGAAAGTCCAGCCAGGAGCCTTCAATCCGTGCGCAAAGATGGCCGACCTTCGGGCGGGAATAATAATAATAATAATAATAATAATAATAATAATAATAATAATAATAATAATAATATTAATAATCATTATTATTATTATTATTATTATTATTATTATTATTATTATTATTATCATTATTATTATTACTATTATTATTATTATTAGTATTAGTATTAGTATTAGTATTATTATTATTACTATTATTATTATTATTATTATTATTATTATTATTATTATTATTATTATTATTAATAGTAATAATAATAATAATAATAATGTTGTGTTGATTTAGGGGCGACGACGATCGTGGGATCGGATGCGCCCCATAATAATAATAATAATAATAACATTGGCCTTCGGGAATAAATAATTTAAAACCTATAGCATAGGTACGCAACTCAATATTAAGAATATAAACACAATTATTGGTTAAAATTGCAACTTTCTTAAATAAAATACGTAAATATTTAGAAATAGTAATAAAAATATATATTATTCGCTTTTAAATTGTGTGTACAATATATAAATGTGCAAATATGAGGAGATGAAGTCGACAAGGCAAGCGGGAAGTAAGAGGTGTTGATAGTAAACAAGAGCCCGACTGGGGAGAAAACGTTTATGCAAACTGCACATATTGCGAAAAAAAAGGATTGAAGCAGTGCTGAGGAGGATTCTCCCCCTCTTGAGGCAATATACTCGCATCGTCTTCTCGAAATTTGGATTGACTGGGCACATGCGACTTATCCCCGTCGCTGCCCCCCAATAACAGTAACACTAATACTGTGGTGGCGACCGTCGCTGGCAGGTGAGTGTCTGCATCCTCATCTGGCTCTGGCCTCCCTTACCTGGCCCTGGCCACCCTCACCTGGCCCTGGCCACCCTCACCTGGCCCTGGCCACCCTCACTTGGCCCTGGCCACCCTCACCTGGCCCTGGCCACCCTCACCTGGCCCTGGCCACCCTCACCTGGCCCTGGCCACCCTCACCTGACCCTGGCCACCCTCACCTGGCCCTGGCCACCCTCACCTGGCCCTGGCCACCCTCACCTGGCCCTGGCCACCCTCACCTGGCCCTGGCCACCCTCACCTGGCCATGGCCACCCTCACCTGGCCCTGGCCACCCTCACCTGGCCATGGCCACCCTCACCTGGCCCTGGCCACCCTCACCTCGCCCTAGCTACTCTCACCTGGCTCTGGCCAGCCTCATTTGGTCTTCACACCAGCTGATTGAGAGAAGAGAAGAGCATGCCGAACTGGCTCCAAATTATGGTTCAAACAATGTCCGTCATTCATAGCAGCAAAAACTAAAATTCTCCCTACCAACAACCTGCAATACTGTAGTGCATTGAAACAACCTAACTCAGTCCATCATCAACTGCTACCTCACACTCAACTACAACCTTTGCTTGTACCTAATATGTCTGTCACTGACAATCCTGCACCCCCAGAGTCCAATCCTCTCCCACTAAATGTACAACTGAGTCCCGATTTTGTTGAAACTCGTCACTCGCATTGAAAATGCGCTAGAAATGATGCTGGACCGACTCCTAACTAAATTTTTTACACAAGTAAACCAACCCATCCCTGAGGCAGACCCAACAGACACCCCATCGACATCTACAGACAATGACATCCATCCTAACATAGCTGGAAACACATCATTTGAACTGATACTGGAAAACCTCCTAAATGACTTCATAACACACCTTACTAAAGTCACTCCCCAGGCTAACATGCCACAAACCCCAACCACTGGCACTAAGAAACCCCCAGCTGTACAAACCTCCCAACGATCTGGCACTTTGACTGAAAAACCACATAAACCACACACTCCCACGACACATCCTCCAACCACACCCTGATATTCAACACGGTGTACTACTGGCACATTGAAAAAAAAAGCCCCATTGTATGTATAAATATTATTTTATGTGTACAGTGTATGTGTACACACCTAGAATGTGTGTGTGCATTCATGCTTGTATAACTACCAATGAGTACTGTAAATGGTAATTACAGTTATATGTATGTGTGTGCGAGTATGCATACACACTGGTATAGTGCAGTGGCTACATTCTCGACTCACAATTGGAGATCCCATGTTCGATCTCCATGCAGGACAGAAGTGGTTGGGCAAGTTTCCTTTCCCCTAATGCCTCGATTCACCTAGCAGTAAACAGGTACCCGGGAGTTAGGCAGCTATTGTAAGGTTACATCATTGGGAAAGTCAGTAGTTGGTCTAGGGGTATACCTTGATACCCACCTGAAGTATATATGTAAACAGGCTCCCTGTTCCTAACAATGGAAATTATTATTTTTAATTATAACATATTTTGCTAAAGGCTAGTTTAGCACTTTGAGTTCTCTAAATATGTTATCAGTAATCATTAAAGATCATGCTTATTTTTTAGTAGAAATTAAAAAAAAAATAAGAACAAAACACAAAATAAATAGAAAGCCATATAAATCCATATTTGAAAAATAAGGGCGAGAGCATTTGAGCAACACTTCCATTCATCTAATGCCTCTGTTCACCTAGCCGTAAATAGATACCCGAGTGTTAGGTAACTGTTAGTAGTTGTATCCTGAGAAAGGTCAGTTTCTGGCCTATGGGAACCTTGATAAGCCTAACAGGTATGCTGCCTCTGACAATGGGAAACTGTTTTTGGAAAAAACAATTGTGAGCAAGTGTTGTAATGCTGCTTGATGGTTTGATAGAACTCCCAGGAAAAGCCACCAACACTGCCACTGCCACCCCTAGACATAGCCAACATCATTGGCTTCCATTGCCAACATGTATAAACACAGTGGAAGAGCAACTGACCAACCCCCATTATACTTCTACCCCATTCAAAATTTCTAGTTTTTCAACTGCTCATTCACCTATCATCATTCCCTGTCTTTGATCAGACCACACACTAGAAGGTGAAGGACGACGACGTTTCGGTCCGTCCTGGACCATTCTCAAGTCGATTGTGAGAATGACAATCGACTTGAGAATGGTCCAGGACGGACCGAAACATCGTCGTCCCTTCACCTTCTAGTGTGTGGTCTGGTCAAACTACTTCAGCCACGTTATTGTGACTCATCGCCTGCGTTCCCTGTCTTCTTTAACACACCCTTTTGTAATAAAAAGTTCCAAAATTCCAGATACAGTTGTAGGTACAGTAATTATGACTTCAGTATTGTACTGTACTGTATATCAATTAAGGAATGACCTTTTTTCACACATTGAAACCACTTTGCATCACTTTTGTCTTGTATTTGCAGGTAAAAATGGAAGAGCAAGTGCATAATATTTTTAAACAAGAAGAGGACCTGGAGGAGCCAGTCCCCGTGCAAGAGCTCCAACAGTTGGAGGAGGAGACCAGGATCGCCACCTCCGTCTTCCGACATGTGGAACATCAGCAGGCAGTGGAGCAGATGGCTAGTGTTGCGGGTATGTGAAAGGACCAACAGAAAGTGACAATCTTGAAGTCTAGCCAAATGAATCGAATCATACATTATGTCCCAGTTTTATTAGTAGCAGATTGTTCCATGATATGCCATAAGCTTTGTGAAGGTTAGAAACACAAATGCCCATAATAAACCATTTGCTTTTATGAGGGCCACTGGGTGAAAATTAACAAGCTGCTTCCCCATTCTCTATTTGCACTTAAGGAATGTACAGAGATGTACTGGCACAGATTAAATACAGTACTGGGGTGTTAGAAATATACAAGCTAATGTATCATGGTATTTAGTAAGATATTCCCCCTTCCACATCAGAGGATAGAAACTCATACTGTCCCAGGATATGTATACAGTATATTTATATTTATTTATATTTATTATAGTATAATGAAGCAAATGATAACTTATTGGATATTATTTGACACTAAGTTTTGCATACTTATTCACTTCTAGTTTTCAACTTGCACCTGTATTTGGCAAGGACACGTGTGGTTTTGCATAGGTGAATAGCAGGCATGTGTTTGTTTGTCTTACTCTGTTTTGTATCCTCAGTATTTTTGTAAAAGTGTCATCATTAAATTATTAGTGTTCATGACTTACCTGACTGAGCCTTGTGCTTTACTTAGAACTGTCACATAACTCATAACACATAGGATGCTTGGTCTTGGACCAGGCGGGGGGGACGTTGAGCCCCGAAATCATTGCAAGGTAACTACAAGGTAAGGTAACTCACTAACATTAGAGTTTTCTGCATACCTAACCTGATACTGTACATTGTTAGTAGTGTGTGATAGTAAATTATGTGGGGAGTTAGTATTTAATTCACACTTGCTTTGCACTCCTCCCTTGGACTTGATACTTTTAGCCACACTACAGTACTATTGTCCTGTTTTTACTTGTAATCTCTCGTGATTTCACTGCTGTTCCAAGTCATCTTGCCCCAGGCCATTCAGATTTTCATTATAGAGTTTGCTCGAGTGCAAATGTAAATTTCACTTCGTATTGGATTCGATGCACACTTACTGCGTTGCTTACTTTCCACATTCCAGTGACCATTAGTAGATTCTCATAACAGGATGTAACAAGCTTAGTGCATTGACTTTGTTCATTATTTATCTTAAATATTGTTAGCCCATTCTTACATGGAGCCAAAATTATCCTTGTACTTTAAGTATGTGGTCTAACATGTTATATTAAAAATTCTGTCAATCACACTAATCATTTGTACTTGAGTTTTGTTCTATATGAGCCTAGCATTATGCTACTTCCCAATATTTCCAGCACTCCATCCAAAGCCGGACCTGCTTCGGGGAACGAAGGAGGAACCAGGACATTCTCCAGTGTTTTCAGCACTACTTCAGAGAATTCCATCCTTACCACACAGTGCGGGTGAGTCTGACAAAGCGACAAAATAGGGTGGTTGGAGGTGTGTGCAGTGTTATAAACCCATCAGCTTGTTGCATTAACCTTCAAATGCTTTATACTCCATGTAAATGACCAAGTTACAGTAAACATTCTTGTTGACAACACATGCTCTCTGCAGGGAAAGAGTTAAGAACAATTTTTGATAATCTTCAAATTTGGCTCGTACACGCTGAAGAATTGTCATATTCGGTACACTATTGTATTGTAGTGTATAAAATTGATCATACTGTGACTGCTGATAATGTAAATAATGCATAGCTATCATCCTCTAATTACATATGTGGTGGTAATAATTCATGTTTTTTCTAGTGGGTTCAGAAGGGTCTGGATCTGTACTGCAGTTGCATTACTCTGGGACTGGGAGCACTGAAGCTGGAGATGTAGGAGGACGTGGAGAAACTTTAGAAGACCTCTTGACTATGCCACCTTCCCTTGATGCGGCCCTCAAGCTCAACATGTCCTTGCAGCGTAACTACCGAGAGAGCATTCAAGCCTTGGAGAGGGTCCTGCAGGATAATATCACTAGGCAGGTTAGCTTCACTTGACTGTATTGTGTGGGGATTTGTGTTAGGTGGACTAACCAGATACGTGAAAGATGTCTTTTCAATCAGAGATAAAATGGTCTTGTTCTGTAAGCTCTTTACTGATAATGCCTATCATATTCACACTTCATGATTATGCACGTGTCGTCTTATGCTCACCAATATATTTTCACATTATCTTCTACTCATTATACAGAGTAGCCGAAGCTCAACCCCCGCAAGCACAATTAGGCGAGTATATACATGCATACATATTTAACATGCATACATATTTAACATAAATGTTCACACATATACAGGGCATACTGTGTACATATTCACTAACACAGAAAAATGAGAGCAGTAATCAGGGGCAATGTGGCAGACTGGAGAGATGTTACTAGTGGAGTACTACAGGGTTCAGTGTTAGCATCAGTTATGTTCATTGTCCTTGATGACCAAACCACACACCAAAAGATGAAGAGACGACGACTTTCGGTCCGTCCTGGACCATTATCAACTCGATTAGGACCAACAGACCAAAACATCGTCGTCTCTTCATCTTCTGGTGTGTGGTTTAGTCATCATATCTTCAGCAATGTTATTGTGACTCATCGTCTTCATTGTCTATATAAACCATCTACCTGAAGAAATATAGAATTATATGAACATGTATGCTGATGATGCTTAGTTACTAGGGGGAAGATAAGAAATTTACACAGTTGTCATGCCCTTCAAGAAGACCTTGACAAAATAAATATATGGAGCAACACTTGACAAATGGACATTAATGGGAATAAATGCTGTATTGTGGAATGTGGAATAGGAGAAAATAGGCCACACACAAGTTACAAATTATGTGAAAAACTTTACAAAAATTCTGATAAAGAAAAAGATCTAGGGGTGGTTCTGGATTAAAAAAAAAACCTAGGTTCACTTGAAGAACATTGTGAAAAGAACATATACTACACTTTCCAACTTTAGAATCACCCTTAAATACATGGATGGCAAAATATTAAAGAAGTTATTCACAACCTTTGTGAGACCAGACGTCTTATTGTGAGACGATACCTACGTACCAAAGTCTTAATTAAGTTAACCATTAACCGAATATGCAGCAGTTGTATGGTGCCCATATCCCAAGAAACATATCAATAAACTAGAAAAGGTGCAAAGATGTGCAGCTAAACGGCTTCTGGAACTGAAGAACAAGAGCTACGAAGAGAGGTTGGATAGAGGTGTTAAATATACCAAAGCTAGAAGAAAGACAAAAAAGAAGTGATCACTACGTACAAAATGTTAACAGGAATCGACATAATTGGCAAAGAAAAATGTTTAAAAACTACAACTTCAAGAACAGGGGGACATAGGTTCAAAGTAAGGAAACAAAGCTACCAAAAAAATTTTGAAAATTCACTTTTGCAAACAGTGATGGAGGGTTGAACAAATTAAGGAAGAAGGTAGTGGATGCCAAAACTGTCAATTGTTTCAAAATGTTATATGACAGAGTACTGGGAAGATGGGACACCACAAGCATACCTCTCATCCTGTAACTACACTTAGGTAATAGCACACACACATGCACACACACACACACACACATATGCACACATACACTCATCTCATGACTTTGTTACCGTTAAAATGTAGATAAGTCATAAGTTTATTTATTTTCAGGAACAATTGAAAGAAGAGGTGAGAGAAGCAAGATATACTTCATACACAGCAGAGGATGACCAAAAGTGGGATGGCACAGGAAAACCACCAATGCGCATCTCACACTTTTGTGTACCATATTTTAAAAATCGTAGTGGAATGAATGCTCCAAAGAATATTGATGCAAAATGGAAAGTGGACAATGGCTACTTGGACCTCTACACAACTCGCACTAGACCATGTACGTTACACTGCTTTCCTGAGCTCTTGCATTTGGGTGCTGCCTAAGTTATGACTGATCATGCACCGTCAGGCAAAATGACATTCTGGTAATGACACTTTGTGTAGAGAGTGTTAAGAGTGTCACTGTAGAACATTCACTGCAATCTAGAATGACAGATAGATCCATTTGTAAGATCTGAATGCACTGGGTCATGATTCTGTAATGGGAAATTTATTGTTTTTTAACAGTTCTCTTAGGTACGTCTTTACACAAGCTATACTTATTTGTGTAATTACCTAAGTGTAGTTACAGGAGGAAAGCTACGCTCGTGGTGTCCCGTCTTCCCAGCACTCTTTGTCATATAACGCTTTGAAACTACTGACGGTCTTGGCCTCTACCACCTTCTCACCTAACTTGTTCCAACCGTCTACCACTCTGTTTGCGAAAGTGAATTTTCTTATATTTATTCGGCATCTGTGTTTAGCTAGTTTAAATCTATGACCTCTTGTTCTTAAAGTTCCAGGTCTCAGGAAATCTTCCCTATCGATTTTATCAATTCCTGTTACTATTTTGTATGTAGTGATCATATCACCTCTTTTTCTTCTGTCTTCTAGTTTTGGCATTTTTAATGCCTCTAACCTCTCCTCGTAGCTCTTGCCCTTCAGTTCTGAGAGCCACTTAGTAGCATGTCTTTGCACCTTTTCCAGTTTGTTGATGTGCTTCTTAACCCTTAAAGTGCGCATCACGTCATATGATGTGTTGGAGTACTACGCAAGATTTAAACGGCCCGCGGATACACGGGGTTCACCACACCTTCATCAGGGCTCTTGTAAACAGACGCCATTTTAAAAAAAAATCGTGGGCCAAACTCCCGGGTGTTATTGGCCTCAGTATTGAGTGAGCAACCAAGCCTGACGCACGCAGCATGAGCTAACAGCACTGCTGTTCAGCTTGTGACCACAGCATCGCCTAAAAATGCTAAAATATACTTGTTCGTGCTATTATGTAGCGATGATATTATTACAGAAGACCCCTGCCTGTGATAAAACTGACCAGAGTTCTGATAATAGCAGGATTGTGGTGATATTTAGTGCTGTGCGCCATGGAGGGAGGAGTAATGCTGTGGGAGGGAGGATGGTGGCGATGTCTTCTGACTGTGTGTGGTAACGATTAATCTTATTCAAATATTCAATACCATGTGCAGACGAGGAGTCACAATAATGTGGCTAAAATATGTTGATCAGGCCACACACTGGAAGGTGGGGGGACGACAACGTTTCGGTCTGTCCTGGACCATTCTCAAGTCGATTGTGAATGACGACGCAAAACGTCGTTGTCCCTTAGCTTTTTAGTGTGTGGTTTGGTCAACATTCAATACCATGGTGGTTTGTACATCTTGTATCATCATTTGAAGCACAAACCATGTTGTTGCCTCTCTGAGGGGGTCAGGTTCTGGCTCGTGATCCCTGGTAGGCCTAGAACTCCATTCACACTGATGCCAAAGTCTAATGATAGTCTATCAGCCTGGATAGCTTCGGAGAGCCTCCGGGACTCTCCCAGAAAATGGCGTTTCATTACATTCAACGCTGGTTTTTTTGTTCTGTTGTGGTTAAAATTTAGCAATGATTACCCCATTCCTGCAGGTCTTTAGTTGATTTGAAAAGTCAAAGAACTTTAATATATTGATAGGTTCTCTGAAGTCCTTATCCATGAGGTGTGAGTTTTAGTATCACTATTGTGTGCAGGACAGAATATGTAATAGGCACTTTGTTACTGAGTTCCTGACAGCAAACTTTTATAATTCTTTGGTTACCCTAATGTAAGCTGGAGTAGGGAAGATAATAGCAACTAGTAATTTTCTAGATAAGTTTTGTTGAGGATATATAATTTTGTTTGATATTTTTCAGGGATGATAACTGAGCGAGAGACTCTGGAGAAGGTTGTGTTACAGGAGTGGAAGGAGCAACAAGGCAGAGTATGGCACTCAAAGTTACGTGAGTTGCAGCGTAAGCAGAGGAACCTTGCCTCCGATAGTGATGATTACTTGGTATGTCACAGATGTTAAGCATTAAAAATATTAAGCTATGCAGTCATTTAATGATAGTTTAGTTGTCAGAGTAAGTATTTAATTATATAAGTCAGTGATCCTTATAGCCCTCTGTTAATTACTGTTTGTTAGTTATAAGTAAAATATTGATTCTCCTAGTCATATCTCATCTACACATACTATACAGTCTTATTTCTTGTAAATGTGTAATTTCTATTAGCAAGTTCATCATTGTTCAAGTTCAAGTATGTTTATTGAGACAAGAAAGAAATACATCTCAAAGGGATAGGGTAGTTTAGGCTCTTTCTCTCCCCCCCCCCGGATTAATCATTGTCACTGTCTCAGGAAATGAGGGCGACTGTCTCAGGAAAGGAGGGTGAACAAACAGTGCAGTGAACGCAGTTACAATCTGCATCAAGAGTTGAAACATACTAATATTGTCCGTTGTTAGGACATAAAAACACCGAAGTCTGAGTACATCAAATATGCCTGGCAGTGCAGATGGAATCTGCTCACAAATAATAAATAAAGAAAAATCAAACCCTCAATTTTCTTTTAGTATTTTATCCATCAGCCAAATCAGGAAGACTGAAGATACTCTTCACATAATGACTAGGATACATGACTAACTTAGAGCTACATACATGCCTGTTCTATGGCCCCAGTGTGAAGTACAATTTGCTGTTCTGTGTGTTGCATGCCTTGTTTGTTGCCAGAAGTTTGCAGATGTGAGGAGAGGGTGCAGTTTCCAAGATGGTTATCTCGAGATGATTTCAGGGCTTAGCGTCCCCGCGGTCCGGTCCTCGACCCGGTTTCCTTTTTGTTACACACCCTCAGGAAGCAACCCATAGCAGCTGTCTAACTCCCAGGTGAACTGTGCATCAGGGTGAAGAAAAGTCTGCCCATTTGTTTCTGCCTCCACCGGGAATCGAACCCGGAACCTCAGGACTACAAATCTGAAGCGCTGTCCACTCAGCTATCAGGCCCCTCATAGATGCAGTACATCTATTACACACTTTCTAAATGATGCACTAAACCTCGGAGTAGTGTAAAGACGCAACTCCTTTTCTATTTTAACGTACTAATAATAAGTGCTGCGTGATGGTGTCACGGCCATGAAGGGGTAGCGGCCGAACTCTTCACTCAAACACCAGTTGAAGGAAGTGGAAGAGGGCGAATTGACTGGCTGGCTGATGGTTTAGTAGGTTGAAGTGGTAGTTAGTGGTTACCTGTGTTTGACTGCTCTAATACCTGGAAAGGTTTGGGCTGCTGACTGTAGCTTTGGATAACCCGCCAAGACTCATACACTGCAGGGATTGTTTCAAGCAGTTCCTGCTTGGTCATTACAGGTGACAAGGAGCCACTGGTGACATGCGCACTGTTGCTTGTAATAACCAACAGAGCTTGGTTATTCTAGGCTGCATAGTATCTATTCCAGTTACTATACAGACTCAAAGTTGTGATCAATTGTGATTTCTAAACAGTCTCAATTAAATAACCTGCTACCTGCTAGGTAACCCTAGTTCATCTGGCCACCATTAGATGGCAGCACCATCAAGATCTACAGAACAAGACCAGACTGTTTAATGTGACTTGTTTCTAGTGTGAAAGTGGTTTTCAGTATCATATACAGTATGTGGCTGACATCTTGGAGCATTCTCAATAGTACATAGTCAGAAACAAGAGTTTGCTGGTACATATCAAAACTGACCAGCTGTTTCTGCACCCTGCTGTTTGTACCACAAGAGATTGTTTCAGTACCTTTCATTAGACAATGTTAGGATAAAGTGAGCCATGGGGCCCACACCTAGGTTGCCAAGTTCCGACTCACAAAATTGTGTGGATGAAGTACATCTGATGAACTTCAAAGCAGTTCCTTTTCTATATTGTTGGTGAATCCAGTACCAAGTAGGAACTGCCTGCTATGTACATGTTGTGTTGGAACTAACAATGTTATCTGCCTCATTCATGATCCTGATCCAGAGGGAACAGTGGATCGTTCCTTATAGGTAACCAAATGCCATTGCTCACAAAGTTTCCATTCATATTTACTCAAACTATATTTTTGTTTATTTCAGGTGAAAGCATTAGAAAATGAAATTGATCAATGCAAAAATTTCATTGATTCTCTTAACAAGACTCCTCCTGAAAGCTTCACACCTAAACTTGGAGCCAAAATGGACTGGGAAAAGATTGCAGCCCTAGCAGTGAGATTGATTACCTCTTTTTTTGTCTTTTCTCAAGTAGCATGCACATTGTCTGCTAGAGTTTTAAGTCCATCTTTTAGAGTAGAAAGCTAATGATACGATGAGAACATCATAATAGTCTGCCGAATTATTAAGATTCTCTCACTTTTGTGATATTCTAGGTGCCAGTTTGTATTGTAAGTCATACGTACAAGGCAGCTAATCTCAATTTAGTTTTAGACTGTACTGTAATACTGTTTATAAGAATACTTGATATCAAGTGCAAGTTTGTCTAAACTGAAACATGTCAGGTATGTTTTGAGTCTTAAGTTTTGATGGGTCAGTCATGTGTACAACAAGAGTGAAGATTTTAGTTACATTTGGGAAACTTGTAAAGTTACTTTGTGTCTACTCCATGGTCTAATCTTGCTATTGTTAGTTTGATAGCTGTTTATATACCCATGGAAAATATAATAATTTGTTGTCAGTTTGATGGTCACCGCAGCTCTGAAGAGTGCCAGTTGATATGGGAAAATCTCCTCCACCCAGACATAAACTGCTCACCTTGGACGGAGGAAGAAGATCTGACGCTGCAGGTTTGTACTGTATATCAATAACTAATACTCTACCTTCTAGTGTGTAAGTATACAAGAGAAATGCTCTTTCCATTTCTACTTGTGCTAGATTTGTTGGTTATACTGTACATAAATCATAATTATTTTATATCAAAAGTACAATTGCAGCATGTAGAACTGTAGGATGTAGAACTTAATCTGGTCACGAGTGGACCACCAGCCCTGCCTCTCGTCTGTTGATGTTACTGTAACTTGTAATCACTTAATCCATTTAATTATTTCTTATTTAATTATTAACAAAAGTTGACTGTTTACTCCATTATTGTAAACTATACACATGTAACTCACTCAACTTCTTAAAGCATGAAACACATGCTTGTGAGTCAACACAGTTAGCCAGTGTGAGCCACGCAGCTACATACGATACATTGCTCTGCAAAGACTAACTACTCATGACCTCTTCAATTCCATAAAAGAAATACATTATTTAATGATAAAGTGTGAAGGAAAAACATAATAAAATAAGTACCGCAGAGTCACATCACAGTGTGAACCCATGTAAGCTCGAGCATTGACTACATCAGTTATTATAATTGGTCTCAATATATTTACCATCAGGGTTTAGCGTCTTGGTTTTGACTGCATAAATTTGGCAATTTAAATGTATTTTTTACAGTTCTAATCATTTTGTATCTGTTTATTTTATAGGAAGCAGTATTGAACTGCAGGTTCAAAAAACCAGATTGGGAAGCAATAGCCAAACTATTGAAATCTAATCGAACGCCTTTCTTGGTAAGTGCAGTAGTATTCTCAGGAATGAACTTTGACAAACTTTTAAGTTATTAAGTTTTGGTATGCTTGTTATAACCTAGTCAACAGCTTTAATTATGCTTTATGAATTGTGCATGTTAAAATGAAGGATATGATGATACGTATGAAACTGGACATCTTATCTCAGGCAATGCAGCGCTGGGTGTCTTTTATAGACCCAACACTACACCCAGCTAGGTGGAATCCGGAGGCCACGCAGAAGCTAATCGACACAGTCAATATGCTGCGAATAGGCAACCATATCCCTTGGGCACAGGTCAGTTATGAGGACTTTTGTTTTTTGCTTTAATTAATAAAGAAAACTAGTGTACTAAAAATTCTTTATGAAACTTTCCAAGGATGCCCTTCTTGCTCAGGTGGGCTCCTGGTGCCCTCTGCTTCTTTGGTGGGGACTTTGGCTTTGCTTTCTTGTTGCAATCCCAGTGTTTTTCTTGCGGTATTTACGTACGGTATGTAACAAAACAAAAAATAAGTTTAAGCATTTTATGTAATGAAATGGCCCTTTCTGACATCCTCAGTAACTTCCCCATGCCTGTTCTCATTACCCCTGAGAGTACATCTGAAGTTACATCAGATGTAACTTCCCTATGGGGTTGAAGTGTACATTATCTTGGGTAGGGATGTGAGTTTAAGAGAATGGTAGTATCAGTCAAGTTTTGTGACCTGACTTTCAATGGCTGAGAGCCCCACTCTGCATATTCCTGATGATGTCATGGGGCCTATGGTTAGGCCAATCAGATGATGAGTTAAGATTGTAGTTGCATTTTGATCATGAATAAGTGAGGTGTGGACTTGTCTACCCACACCAGCATCATTCAAAGGGAGGACTTAGCAACCATCACACGTGTACTCTACTGCTGAAAAATCATGTGGCCGACTTTCCTAAAGTATTGGAACTTTAGAAAAGTCAGCCTTGGCTCTTCTGGTAATTGACTTCTATAGTGGTGCATTGAGGTGTGAGCAATGGAGACAGATTTCTACAGTAACAATCACCATTCAGTTATGTCAGGTGAAGTGCGTATTTGTGAGAGAGAGAGAGAGAGAGAGTAGATTTCCTCTGTAAGTACGTACTTTGTAATTTTGTGTACACGTCATCTCACATTCATGGTACCAAAGGGTAGCCCAGTGGAGACTGGAGGAATTCTTAACTCAAGTCGGTGGGACTGTATTATGCCAAGACCCTCATGAGTGCTGATCATATCATCAAGTATATGTATGTGGTTTATTTTAACACATGTCAAACTAAATGTGCATGTAAATTTATCCCAAGCATCATTTTGAACTCCAATGATTGTCCTTTAAAAGACGGCAGTAATGTTAAGCAACTGTGATTGTGAAGCATGTCATATTGCAGAGTTAAGTTTAGATAATGCTAAACACCGGTTGTAGACTTGCTTATGACGCTTCGTAAAGTAAAGACAATTTTCCCCCAACCATGTATGTATAAGTTTAAGTGTAATAAATTAGTTGTTGTAAGGTACACATGGTTGTATCAGTGAATCCCTTCTTCCTCAAATATAAATCTGTCGTCCCCGTAAAGGGTCACCATAGTATACTGTACTAGCACTACTGATGAGACTCGAAACTCTAATTCCTGCTTCACAGGTTTGAGTCAGACATGACCTATAATCTAGGAGAATTTATTCTGGACTTGGGTACTGTTGCTCTAAGCACTTGTTGATGACCACTGTGAGCAGTTGATCATCTTGCACTTGTATTATTGCACACTCAGATGGTCCAGGCAAAGACAATGAGGGAGATGGATATTCAGCTTGACTGCAGAAAGATCTGAGCTGTCATGTGGTGGCATATCTTATCTTGAGATGATTTCGGGGCTTTAGTGTCCCCGCGGCCCGGTCCTCGACCAGGCCTCCACCCCTAGGAAGCAGCCCGTGACAGCTGACTAACACCTAGGTACCTATTTTACTGCTAGGTAACAGGGGCATAGGATGAAAGAAACTCTGTCCATTGTTTCTCGCCGGCGCCCGGGATCGAACTCGGGACCACAGGATCACAAGTCCAGCATGCTGTCTGCTCGGCCGACCGGCTCCCCATGCTGTATATTGACTTGAGGATTGTTTACTATTGGCAAAGCAATGTTTATTTGGTTTTCTTTCATATCTCTTTTTGATTAAGATTTGTTATTTGTCATGCCTCTATACTTTCTGGGCCGTTTTTCCTGGTAATTGTGTTGATCCCCATCAACACTATGAACACTTAATTAGGATCCTGGTGTATGGTAGGCCTGTACAAGTTAAGAGGCCTGACAGCATTACTGCCTTGCAAGTATCTCTGTAGGATGGGAGTCTAATGCACCGAGGTGCTATTGTGGCCACACACACAAAGGCTTTGTGTTACATTCAGTGCTGGATTTTTGTACCATTCAATTTGGGTTCCCAAGAAAAAGAATAGAAATTAAGATTAAACGCAGCAGTGATAAATATTCATATAATTATCGAAGTAGTTAAATCTTTTCATAAATTGTGGGGCAATTTTCCTTGCATTGCCTGCATTATAGGTCTTAGTGGGATTGAACTGGCAACTCATCTTCTCACTGAAAGTAAACATTTACTCATTTATTCTGTTTTAATATTTTTTAACCTTGTGTCACTATAGAGTATCATTCCCCTTTTCTCTCTGGGCTTGTACATCCCCGCCCATGACAGTGGGAAATGGGAGTAATGAATATGAATGAACCTTACAAATATATGTAAGTAACACAGTATGTTAATATAGTTTGCTTGTCCATGCTCATTGTCATAACTCGTGTCTTAAATGATGCATTTGTTGTGTTGAAGGTGCACCAGCACATGGTAGGATTCAGCCGAACTCAGGTTCAGAGTCGGTGGAGGCTGATCAACCCTGAGCAGTCTAAAGGGCCATTCACAGTTGAAGAAGACTTCATACTCATTAAGGTAAAAAATCATGTTCTGAAGTGCACACAACTGTAAGTCTTAGAATTCATATTTGTAACTTTGCACAGCAGATTGACTAAATAGCTTTGAATATAATTCCTTAACCTTGGGATAATATATGTTGTATAGCTGTAATTAATAATTGGAGGAAGATATTGTTTCAGTTTAGGAAACTAATATTCCTTTGCTGGATTCTGACTGAGGAGGTCATGTATCCGGCCAGATGTTTTGTCACAGTGACTTCAGACCCATGAATGACTTACTGGCTTACTCTCATGGTATATACCTTCCAGTACCTGTAGTGTAAATAAACAGCTTAGCCTCACTGGGAGCCTAGTCCATGCCAGAAAAGCTTATATTAACCTCGTAGGATGTAGTTAATAACTATTTCTGTTCAATAATCCAAAAGTTGACAATACCACAGAAAATCTTGGAAAGTAATGATTAGTAGCGTGGGGGACACTTCAGCTGGTGTCTAAAGCTGTTAGACAAACAACACAAAACTACACAGAATTAATTAGTTTATTTGTTTAAATTAGACAGATTAAATACTGTATTTTAAACTATATAGCTGTAAGTGGACTGGAACAAATATAAAGGTTAAGGAAAAACCAAGAGGTCTTGCATGAGCATCATTGTGCCCCGTGTCCCCTGTGTCATGGGGATGGGAAGCAGTTAAGGGGAAAAAAATAGCATTCTCATGTAGAAAAAGATGGTTTAAAATATTATAAGTTAGTTATCAGAGATTAGAAGTACAGTAGAACCTCGAGTGACAATTGCCACAATTGGCGAGCATTTTGGGTAACGAGCGCTCAGATCGCCGACAATTCGTCTTGTATGGCGAGCGCTCGTTTGAATAACGACACCACTACATGATGGGGTCGCGTGGCTTCTCGCACATTCTCGAACGCCTCCGACGATGCAAATAATTTATGTTTTTCTGGGGCTAGCCCCTTCGGCTCCCCGGAGCTTACTAGGCTGATATGCTAATGTCAGACTTTGGCATCAGTCATGTGTATGTCGTTCTTATAGGCCTACCAGGGACCAGGAACCAGAACCTGGCCCCCTCAGAAGAGGCAAGGGGAGCAATGGCCTATAGAAACCCCTGTATAGTTGGAAGCATTCCATTTCTGCCATCGACCGGGTCAGGCACCCAGAAAGGTAAGCATCCCAAAACAAACCCCTATTCTGGTGAAAAATTGCTACCAAAACTCGAACAAGTGGATAGAGCTCCCCTAAAAGAAACGAGCAAACGATCATGACGTCACACGTCACCGCGCTGCTGTCTGCGCAGCTCCCCCCCTTCCCGGGAGGGGGAACCCCAGACCCCGGGAATATAGGGTAATAACACCACACACAATATTGTTGGGAGAGAAATTTTAGTGCGTCTGACCTTGAATGTGTGAGGGAGGCCTGAATGTGCCTGAACTAACTATATCAGCTTAGTTGTACAGTTGTGGTAAACAAAACATGTAGATACTTTTATAATGTCTGTATATAGTGAATAAAAGCAAAAACAGTATGGTGGGAGGAGTGAGGTGTTGAGGGAGTGAGTGGCAGCGAGTGGTTGGCTGGTGTGTGGCGGTCACTCCTCTTTGCTTTTTGACACATAATAGCAACTTAGTGGTTCGTTATGGTGAACAAAACATGCAGATACTTATATATAACCTGTGTATATAGTGTAATAATCGACAAAGTATTTGTTCACTGCTTGATGAACATAATATTTGAATCAACAATATGCACACTATAATTTTGAATACAGCTATGATTCACACATTTTATTATATAAATATATCACACTACACACTATTGAATAATATGACAGCAAAAAAAACAAAGAAAAATCAATCAGAGACATTGAAATAATTAGGTAATTATCTCTTTGTGGCAACTCCTGCCTGACAGCTGGAGCTGAGCAGACCGCCTGGGACGTATGATGAGTTAGCGCCTGTTTTTTGCCAGGCTTCCCCGCCCTATAGTGGGCAAAATATGCCACTTACAATTTTTTTATTATTTTTCCCATGATCAGAGAACACAAATTAATTAACAGGTTTAGAAGATTTTTTTTCGTTATTCGAAATTCGTTATTCAAGGTTCTACTGTAGTTACGTTCTCTCAGTGACCCCCAAGCTGGCTGATGAACTTGCCATTACTGACCAGACTTGAACAATGTCAGATATTCCAAAAAGACACTGATTCTATTGGAGGCAAAGGCCATGGCCATCTTCCTCTGCTTCCCTTATGAGGCAAGAAGCATATGACCAACCCATACTGGGCTCCTTCCATTTCTCTGTGACCCTCCTATGAGGTAGGAAGCATATGATCAGCCCATAGTGAGGCAAACTACCCTGACTGCAGTGAAAGTCCACATACAAACGACTACTCAATAAGTGATTTCGATGACTTCTCAGTCGGCACCAGGGGCCAGCCCAAGTATAATGGGCATCCTTAGCAAAGGCCAGGTGGGAATTAACAGCCTTTCAGTGGAACCCAGGAAGGGGTATTTTGTTGCACTTGAAAATTTTTGGGTAGTCCTATATAAAAAGATTGGTTCACATTAAATTTGAATTGTCTGAAAAAAATACTCTCATGATCTTAAATAATTTTTCTGTATTTTCAGGGTTTGCACATGTTTGGGTTAAACTTTGCCAACATCACTCACTTCATGCCTGGTCGCTCTGTTGCTCAAGTCCGAGAGAGGTTCAAGCGTACCATCTTGTCTGGTTTAACCACAAAGCCGTGGACAAGGTGAAAATGTTTGCTATTCGTCTCCTGCAGCTTATTCAAAGCCATCTCATTTCCATAAACTATTTATTGTGTGGAATGTCACTGCATGATAGCATGTCTCTTCATTTGATAAAGAATTTGCATGCTCATTCTTTATGGGAGGGACCCTTCAGGAGACTAATGCCAATAGCTCTGTGAGACCTGTCCTTGCCTGCCAGAAGAGAGGACCAGACTCTGGCTTACTGCACTAGATGAGGGGTGCTTGTGGATCAAAGGGTTATCCAAAATTGACGTAGCATATCATATTAATTATCTCTAATGTGCCAGCTACTTATCAACATAATCACTAATGGGATTTGAAGTCATATTCACTAACCATTAATGACATGTGTAATTGCACAATGATATCTGTAATTCATACATGTTCATACATGTTCTCAACATTTCCATGGAACACTTAGGAAAAGCCATAAGCAAGCAGCAAGTTTCCCATCAGGTCAAATGATGATCAACTTGCCAGAAGCAAACTGTGTCCAACACAAGGTCAGGTGAAGCATGGATATAAGCCGATCAGTAAAACAGCATCAGCAGTCTAGCTCCAGTAGAGGTTCAGTGATAATATTCTTTGAATTTTTTACCCGAAATCATTTATGTTTAATAAAAATCCACCAGAAAGCATAGGTGCAACAATACAAGTGACTGTTTGAAGGAAAGTGGGAACCCAAAGGTAAATAAGGCGAACTAACATTGCTGCGGGATAAAACCCCTAACCATAATGTGCCGAACTACCTCCAGATAGCTACCCAGGTCAGCCAGGGCCTCGGCTAGTTTGCCACCTCAATCGTTCACCTTCTGCCATTGGGTTGTGTCCTTTTCTGTCACGTCTTTCACTTGCATCATGCTTTCAGCTAAGAGGTTTTCCATTTTCTCCTTCAACTGATAACAATCTCATGGCTGGAATAAAATCTTTGTTACATCCAGATTTTGGTTGATTGTACAGAGGAAAAAAACATTTTTGTTCTTAAGAGTATTCATAATACTAGTATTTTGTTCAGTATTATGCCTACCATAGGGACCAAGGATACCTCCCTCAATCACCTGCAATTGAAACTTATCAAGTTTATACTTTTTTGTTTTTCCAACAGAGCTGAAGATGATATATTGATTAGAGAATGCAAAGTTGGTCCAAAGAACTGGCGTAGGATGATCATGCTACTTCCTCGGCGCAACGCTTGCCAGATACGGAGCCGATACCATACAATTCAAGTTTGGCAGACTCTCACCGATAATAATATGGTAAGAATGACATTACTAACAGCATGAATTAGGGTTTTTGGAAGAGCTTCCCAGAGGCCCAGAGGCTTCCCTGGCTCCCTCCCTCCCTCCAGTTGGCGGTTTCATGATGTTTTGATGCTTAGCCTCTGAACTGGTATGGCTGGGTCACCGGCACAGGGGTGTAGGTACAGATGTGCATATCACACCTTTCTTCCCCCCCACTCCTGGGGAGGGGGGGGAATGAAAAGGGGGGTAAGGAATGGTGCCTAACCACTTGGACAGTCAGGGATTGAACGTCGTCCTGCATGAAGCTGCGCGTGCCAGCAACGAGGTAGTGGAATGTGACTTTTGCTTGTTTGCTTGTTTCAGTGGGATTGGAGGGAGTTCTGCCTCTCTGTTCGGTTTTCAGTTACAATTTTCTTAACATGTGGGGTCTGTTTTGTTATGCCTACCTTTCTGGGTGCCTAACCCCAGTCGATGGCAGATAAGGAAAACCCCCAACCACAGGGGATGTTTTCCAGGGCCATTATTCCTCCCAGTGCCTCTCTGAGGGGGCCAGGTTCTGGCTCGTGGTCCCCAGTTGGCTGAACTCTTATGACTAATGCCCTGATCTAATGAATTGCATATTAGCTCTATAGCTCCAGGGAGCCTCTGGGGCTCACCCAGAAAATGGTGTTTCATTACATTCAACGCTGGTTTTTTGAACAACAGTAATATCACAATAATAGATGTATCTATGAGACAATATTGAGGGTATGCTATGGGATCATGAGGTGGTGAATATCACTACTGTACTGACACAAATTTAGGTCGGTATCTCACAATGACACCCGAGTGTGGGTGGACACCTCACACCACCTACACCTGGGTGTGGGTGGACACCTCACACCACCTACACCTGGGTGTGGGTGGACACCTCACACCACCTACACCTGGGTGTGGGTGGACACCTCACACCACCTACACCTGGGTGTGGGTGGACACCTCACACCACCTACACCTGGGTGTGGGTGGACACCTCACACCACCTACACCTGGGTGTGGGTGGACACCTCACACCACCTACACCTGGGTGTGGGTGGATGTATGCATCTCATAAAAGCTTAATTATTTTCTCTCATTCAGTGCTTTCATGCATCACCTCCATAAAGAATGGCTTACACTTACATAGGATATATTTGTAATGAAAGCAAAGATCTGTTTAAATATTTTTTATTATAATTTCTGCAGGAACCACCACCCTTGTTTCCAGTAAGCATGACGGTTGATTCAAACCTGATCTGGGAAATCCGCAAGAACATGATACTCGAAACCAATTGTGTCAAGGAGATGGTTGACAAGAGTCGCAAAGGAATGAATGTGGTAAGGGAAGATTTTTGTTTTAAATAGCGATCATCTTGGCTCTTGGGATATGTTCTTAAAGTTAATAGGTACTGTTGTTTGAAATTAGAATTGGTATTAATTTGCTTCTGACAAAGAATGTTCTTTCCTGCCACACGTCCCCCAGCTATGGTTGCAGTTGTGGTGGTAAGTACAGTAATACATTCGGGAGTCAAAAATGGTCAGGGCACTCCCCAATGCTACTTTCCAAAACATTTGTTGTTTAGGTACCTGTTCAAACTTAGGAATACTAGACTGTATCAATGTTCTTTTATTTATTGATTATGTGTTTTGGGGGTTATTTAATATGACTTTTAGTGTTTGTAACATTATATAAATGTATAATATAATAAATTTAAAAGTATTAGTATACAATGAAAACACAATAGAGCTGGATTTGATGGAATAGATTCCCTGGCTAGTCGAAACAAATTTTGGCATAGCCTCAGTCATATACGAAATAGGGTGGCCATGCAACCAAGGCCACCTCGGTTCATCAGACCGATTCAGGTAGGCATATAGAACATTATTTTCAACATTTTGACTGTTTATGTGCCTTTAATTGTTAACATTTCTGGTAGGGACCCCTCAGTAGCTGTCTGAAGTTTCTTTTGTTACCACCAAACATTACCCCAACCCCATTTCTCACCTACTGAGAGTGAGGCACAGAATCTGGCTCACGCCTGAGGCGAGGGGACCAGGGGATCAGAGTTCTATTCTAAAACTGGGGAAAGACGCATAAAAAAAAGCATAGGTGCAACAAAACAAGTGATTGCTTGAAGAAAAATACACCCATAGGTAAACAAGGCAAAGGACCATTGTTGTTCATTTAATCCCCTGTCTGTGATGCAGTGGACTGTTACTAGATTGTAACCAATTGTCAACCAGCTTGCCTTCTTTTCCTCTCCAATCCTCCACCTGGTGTAGCCCATCCAAGACCTGCAGCTTCTGGTGGGCCCGATATTAGCTTCTCCCTTTCAGCTAAGTTGTTTGTGTTGGTTTTCTTTTGAAACATTATGTCCTGTCTAGGGGGGGGGGGGCAATGCTTTTATGTTAGGCTTTACAACTGTGTTTATACCACCAACATTACATGTGCCGTAGAATCACATTTTGCTTTAATCATGACTAGGTTTAACATACCTGGGGTCAGTTTCATTTCACTATACCCTCACCAGAGATACCTGGTGGTGATCATGCACATCACAGTAAGAGTGTTTGCACCAAAATATTGATTGTTTACCTGGGGGTACCTAATTTATTTAAAGCATTAACTCTTTTGTTGTGTGTGTACTATCTAGTGGGTTAATCCCTGGTTTAGAGTTGTCTGATCTTAACACTATCGCTCTCTTTGGACACCCCTTATGTCTACTTTTTTTCTTTCGTGTCCTAGCTTTGGACACTACTCGCGTCCAATACAAAAAATATTTGTATAAAATTCATTTTCTATCCAATCGACTTCGGCATAGATTCAAAATGAGCGCCTTTAGAGTGCACACAATTTGATATCAACATGAAAGATGTAACACAAAACTTGATGTCAGAACACCTGAAAGATTATAAATACGTTTTTGGGCAAAATATTAAAATATTTGTTAAATTTACATTTTTTGTGCTATTATTATGGGACTAGTTTTAAAATGCGCGCCATTACATTGCGAACAATTTGATACTAAAATTAAAAATGTAACACAAAATTTTATGTCAAAACACTGGAAAGATATAAATAATTTTGTGATGATGAGCATCCAAAATTAAAATATTTGTTAAAATTCCATTTATTGCACTATTATTATGACTAGTTTTAAAATACACGCCTTTATATTGCTAACAATTTGATACCAGAACGAGCGACGTAACACAAAAATTAATGTTATCAAACTGAACGAGTATACACATTAGGCTGGGGGTGTGATAATTGGTTCTCGTTCACGGATAACTTTAGGCTTTGCTAAGGAAGTCACGCTCGGCTTTTGGACAATATATGCATATACACCTGCAGGGAATTTAATTGCAAACACATTGATACCAAAACGAATGACGTAGCACAAGAATTAAGGTGAGAAAACTGAAACGAGTATACACATTTTACTGATTTTGTGCGCTCACGGGTAACTTTTCCCAACTTTAGGCTTTGCTGTGGGGGAGTCAAGCTTAGCTTTTGGACCTTATGTGCATATACACCTGTAGGGAATTCTATTGTGAACACAATGATACCAAAACGAGTGACGTAGCACAAGAACTAAGGTGAGAAAACTGAAACGAGTATTCACATTTAGTGTCGCCGAGCACTCGCCCGCACCACCAGGCCTACTTCGTGCATACGCGCGGAGCGTACGCCCGGGGCGCAATACTATTAAGTCTTGACTTGTATAGTGATGCAGATTCTGGTCATGGATGCCAGATGGTGTGATACGAGTGTTAGTGACCTGGTGTGCAACGCTGAGGTCTGATTATAACAGTGTATAAGCCTGAATGGTCGCTGGGGGCTCACCAAAAAGAGCATTTAATTGTATTTAATGAATAATTTATTATACTGTGGAGTTCATGGAGTCAACTAACATTATTGTATAACTAACATTCAATTAAAACCATTATATATACATTACTGTATATGCTTAGGAATAACTATAATTTTGCTCATATTGTATTTGCACATTTTGAGAGACTTTATTTTTGTACTTTTTAGATATATTTTGACCACACACATTTGTATCTTTGAGAGTGATCTTTTATTGACTATAGTATTGGGAGAGTTATTACAGTTTAATTGACTATACTAATACTGTATACTGTAGTTATTTGGCTATCATCTTTTATTATGCAGAAAAATGTTGTAAAGGAGTTGGAAAATCGCCGCCTTGTCATCCAAGCCCGTAAGGCGAACCGGTCAGTGGAGAGAATGAAGCGTGCAACAGAAAGGCGGGGACGAAGACCCGGGATTCCTAACCCTCACTTTGTCAGTTTGCAAGACCTCCTGCTGATAGAGTTCTTCATACCTGGAAGAAGTTATCAAACAGATTTTTCACATACTTGTGAGTATAAATTAGCAGTTTACCCATTGTTGATGTTAGTGGGAGTTGATTGTGGGTGTTGAAGTATTGTTGGTGTTAGTGGGAGTAGATTGTGGGTGGTTGAAGTGATGTTGGTGTTAGTGGGAGTAGATTGTGGGTGGTTGAAGTGATGTTGGTGTTAGTGGGAGTTGATTGTGGGTGATTGAAGCATTGTTGGTGTTAGTGGGAGTAGATTGTGGGTGGTTGAAGTGTTGTTGGTGTTAGTGGAAAGGGGAAAGCGAGACAACTTGCTGCAGTTGCCAACCCAAGGCGACACAGGCCCATGAGCCCGGGAACGACATGAGACAATGAGCAGCCAGGCCCCTGTACAACCGCCAAAAGTCCTGGCTGGCAGAACCCAAGGAACTTTTGGAAGGTGGCCCCAAGCCCCAAGGGCAGTACTTACAGGGCACCTAGGGAAGGAAACCCTAGGCACATGCAGCCCGAGTAGTGGAGAATCACTCCCGGCTCACGCACCACTTAGAAGACAGTCACCACACTCTAGGTACAGTGCTGAAACAGCCACCAGAACCGGAGCACACAACCGGTGCCTCTGGCATCAGCCGAAGAACTGGTGGTTGGATAGCCGGCGTGAGAGGTCTGGGGCTTCCCCTTCCCCCTCCCGGGCAGGGGGAGAGCTGCACAGACAGCAGCGTGATGACGTGTGACGTCATACTAGTTCGCTTGTTTTTTGTTGGGGAGTTCTATCCACTAGTTCGGCTTTTGGTAGCAATTTTAACCAGAATAGGGGTTTGTTTTGGGATACTTACCTTTCTGGATGCTTGACCCAGTCGATGGCAGACAGAATGCTTCCAACCACACGGGGGTTTCTATAGGCCATTGCTCCCCTTGCCTCTCTGAGGGGGCCAGGTTCTGGCCGTGGTCCCCAGTAGGCCCTAAGAACTCCATACACATGACTGATGCCAAAGTCTGACATTAGCATATCAGCCTGGGATAGCTCCGCGGAGCCAATGGGGCTCCCCCAGATTTTTTTTTTAATTTATGTAATTGTTTTGTGTTTGCAGTTAGCAGTATCCGTGAGAACCTGATTCTCCTGTGTAAGTTCTTCCAACTGAGGACGCTGAGAGAGGTGACCCCTTCAGAGAAGGTGGTGGTGACCGTGTTTCATCTCAAGAGTGATGACTTGGATGTGGTCCAAGAGCTCATTACCAAACACACCCACTCTGAGGAGATTGAGTATAGTATGTTGTGTATGACTCGTTTTCTTAAAGTGGAGCCCCCCTTTTACAAATATAAATTGAACACAATTGGTCAAGAAATTCACTCTTATTTTATATAGATTTATAGCCTAAAGTACACATTGTAAAGCCTAATGAGTAAAATATAAAATAATAACGATTTACAGGTGCGGAGTGCGAGGCATGTTTGGCAAGCCGACCAGAAAGTATCCCACTTATTCCTGCTAACCAAACCACTCTGGGTGCACTTGCATCTCTCTTGCATCACCGACCCAAGTTGATTGAAATGGCTACAAGAAAATTCATATTTTACAGGTAATGATTTGAACAAACATTTGTATACTTCATGACTATATTCCTTATAGGGTAGTCTTTTATATTTGAACATGTGCCAGTCTTTGGACATCAGCAGCTTAAAAAACTCCAGTTCCTTGATCTTTTGCTAGAACAAGTGCATAAAACTGAATGAATGTCTGGTAAACAAACCGAAACCATAAAGAAGATAAAGAAACGAAGCATAAATAGTGTTCTTGTAAGGAATAGTGAAGAAGCAGATGGTGAGCATCGGGCCAGGGTGAGACAGGGACACTAGGGGAGCATCGGGCCAGGGTGAGACAGGGACCCTAGGGGAGCATCAGCCCAGGGTGAGACAGGGACCCTAGGGGAGCATCGGGCCAGGGTGAGACAGGGACCCTAGGGGAGCATCGGGCCAGGGTGAGACAGGGACCCTAGGGGAGCATCAGGCCAGGGTGAGACAGGGACCCTAGGGGAGCATCGGGCCAGGGTGAGACAGGGACCCTAGGGGAGCATCGGGCCAGGGTGAGACAGGAACCCTAGGGGAGCATCAGGCCAGGGTGAGACAGGGACCCTAGGGGAGCATCGGGCCAGGGTGAGACAGGGACCCTAGGGGAGCATCGGGCCAGGGTGAGACAGGGACCCTAGGGGAGCATCAGGCCAGGGTGAGACAGGGACCCTAGGGGAGCATCGGGCCAGGGTGAGACAGGGACCCTAGGGGAGCATCGGGCCAGGGTGAGACAGGGACCCTAGGGGAGCATCGGGCCAGGGTGAGACAGGGACCCAAGGTGAGCATCGGGCCAGGGTGAGACAGGGACCCAAGGTGAGCATCGGGCCAGGGTGAGACAGGGACCAAGGGTGAGCATCGGGCCAGGGTGAGACAGGGACCCTAGGGGAGCATCGGGCCAGGGTGAGACAGGGACCCTAGGGGAGCATCGGGCCAGGGTGAGACAGGGACCCTAGGGGAGCATCGGGCCAGGGTGAGACAGGGGCCCTAGGGAAGCATCAGGCCAGGATGAGACAGGGACCTGAGGTGAGCATCGGGCCAGGGTGAGACAGGGACCCAAGGTGAGCATCGGGCCAGGGTGAGTGAGGGAGGGCTGGCTGGGTGTGACAGCTCACACTCGCGGTGTTCTGAATGTGTTGATGGTGAATGTATATAGTGTGTGACAGTGTATAGTCTGTAAATAGACTGTATATATACATAAATTAGCATGATGCATGGTAAATATGTGCAACATATGTGTACACAAGTGTCATGCACGTAACAGTGTCCTTGGACAGTACGGATGTTTTACTGCCATAATATAGTGTGCCTGTTCATTATACATAGGATTAGCATGTAAAAACAAATAAAATGTGTTTGGAACTGTGCGCAAAAAATGAAAAAAAATATATTCGTGGCAACACGCGCACCCTGCCCCGGGCGCCCCACCAGCCCCGGGAGTATACGTCACGGGCGAATGGGGAATGATGACGTCATGCGCCATCTTACGGACCCCATAGCAGCCAAAGTAAGTACAATTTCGAAATTCCGTTGCTATACCTATATACAGGGAGGGGTTTTTGACACTTTCAGAACAAAAAAAATAATTTTTTCCCGAGAATTTATTTCTTGCGCACTGGGGGGGGGGATGTCATATTTATAGGCCGTGCAGTTAAAGGGTTTAATTAGAGAATGAACGCTGGGATGAGTGTGTCACTGAGCCTAAGGAAAGGGTTAGCAGGAATAAAAATCAATGGGAAACTGAAATGAAAGGAAAGTCAACAAATTAATTGATGAAACCCGTAATGCAGAAGCACAAAGAAGCAATGTAACAGTTCATACCTCACAGGAGGGAAGTGGACAAAGGAAGAACAGCAAACACATGGTTCAACGGACAGCATAAGGAAGGAAAAGGAGAGGATAAGGCATGAAAAAAGTATAGGGAAAAAACTACAGAAGCAAATTAGAAGGCACTTAAGAGGGCCAGGAATGAGTACACAAGAAATAAGAGGCAGCAGAACAATAGTTTGAAAATGACATTGCTGCAAAAGCACAGAGCCAACCTGAGCTGCTGCCCACTCATATATGGTGGAAAACAACAGTATGAGACCATACAGTGAGACTGTAAGAACAGAGAGAAACATGCTTGGAAAATGACAAAGAAGTGTGTAAAGAACTTGACAAAAGGTTCCAGGAGGTCTATAACCGGAGCCAGATTGGTGTCCAAGTAGGGGGTGACAACACATGACTAGAAACAACACTACAGAATTGAAGTTAATGTAGACGAGGTAAAAAAAAAAGACTTCTTGGGGAACTGGATGCAGCAAAAGCAGTAGGCCCAGACCAGCTATGACCATGGCTACTGAAGGGAAGCTGCAGAGATCTTGTGTTACTCATTAACTATATGCTCAACGTTACACTAGAGGCTGGAGAGCTACCAGAAATATCAAGAAAGGCAAATGTAGTTCCAATATTCAAGAAAGAGAACAAACAGGAAGCACTAAACTATAGACCAGGGTCTTTAACATGCATTCCATTCAAGATTCTAGAAAAAGTATTGTAGAACATTTGGGAAGAGTAAATTTTATAACATAGGCATGGCTTTACATACACCGTCATGGCTTAATTAAATTAACATAACAATGAGATGGTTTGACATAATACTGCCATGGCTTTACATAACACCACCATGGCTTAACACTGCCAAGGCTTTACATAAGTTATTGGCTTTATATAATACCACCATGGTTTTACGTAACACCGTTATTGGCTTTACATAACACTTGCTGTTATGTTCTTAGGACTTATTGTTATGAATAATACACTTGGTCTTTCATGGTTTTCACCGAAGCATTGTGTTACCAGGGCAACCAAGAGCGAACTGCTGAGGCTGGGGCCGGATCCCAAGGTGAAAACACTGCAACGACTCTCCATGCCACCAGTCATGCCGTTGGTGAGTCGTTGGTCCTTGTCTTACTAGTGCATCATAGATGCTAATGTAATATAATGTGTAAAAGTTGCATTATATAGAGGCTTAAGAATAAACCTGAAAATTGCTCAACGAAATAATGGTGCACATAGCAGTTAATTATATTCTTTTAATTATAATAATTTCACCTAGATTCACCTAGAAATTATATAATTTCAGTGTATTACTCTCAAGAGATGTCTCATTCACCACTCCTGTAGTTCATATTAATTTGACAAATGTATTTTATATACAACTTATTCATATAAATAGGATCCCAATTTTATCCTGCATAAAGCTGAGTTGCATATGATAATAATTAGACAGTCTCCGTGGTGCAGTGGTAAGACACTCGCATACCTCAACCTCTCCTCCTGTTCAGAGAGTACTACTTGTAACTATGTGCACCATCATACATATATTGATGTAATGGACTATTAGATACTGTAGTAGAATTGGTACTATGTATTCACTTTATAAGTGAATACATAGTACCAGAAAAAATAAAGCTAAAAACCAAACTTAAATATTCCTAGGCCTAGTATAGCACATATCTGTATTATATTAGGCCTCAAATAGCATGTATTAGGCCTAGGATGGTAAGGTTAGGTTAACCATCCTAGTTAAGTTAGTTCCAAGCAACAGCCTGTTGGACCAAGTTCTCACAAGTCAACCTTGGCCCTAGGCCAGGTATAGGGAGTAGAAGAGCTCCTAGAACCCCCATCCAGGTACAATCCAGGTACCAATCCAGAAGAGTAGGGGGCCATTGAACAAGTTAAGCTGAGGAGCACAGTCTCCCCCCACACCACTAACAAAAGATGATACAGTATATCTTTCAAGTAGGCCAGCAATACCCCCTGTTAAAGAATGACATCTTGCCCCCACTTAATTAAAAGCAGGGCTAGTAGACAGCTTCTACAGTCATCGTCAATTTAAAAATACTTTTCTGGGAAATGGACACCAAAACTGTACCTCTAATCCCTCTCTCCTTAGATACCTGTGTGAACTAAGGTTTATACTGAGCAATTGGTTCTTGAGCCACTTAAAATATGGGTATGTCTACATATATTATAATATGTGTGGGTGCCCTGTCTGTAATTACCTAAGTGTAGTTACAGGATGAGAGCTACTCTCGTGGTGTCCCGTCTTCCCAGCACTCTGTCATATAACACCTTGAAATTACTGACGGTTTTGGCCTCCACCACCTTTTCACCTAATTTGTTCCAACCGTCTACCACTGTTTACAAAAGTGAATTTTCTTACATTTCTCTGGTAGCTTTGTTTTGTTAGTTTAAATCTATGGCCTCTTGTTCTTGAAGTTCCAGGTCTCAGGAATTCTTCCCTATCAATTTTATCAATTCCTGTTACTATTTTGTATGTAGTGATCATATCGCCTCTTTTTCTTCTATCTTCTAGTTTTTGCATATTTAATGCCACTAACCTCTCCTCGTAGTTCTTATCTGTCAGTTCTGGGAGCCACTTAGTGGCATGTCTTTGCACCTTTTCCAGTTTGTTGATATGCTGCTTAAGATATGGGCACCATACAAATGCCGCATATTCCAGCTTTGGTCTTGAAAAAGTCGTGAACAGTTTCTTTAGTATTTCTACATCGATGTATTTAAAAGCAATTCTAAAGTTAGTGTAGCATAGGCTCCTCACACAATGTTCTTAATGTGGTCCTCAGGTGACAGTTTTCTATCTAGAACCACCTCTAGATCCCTTTCTTTGTCAAAATTCTTTAAAGATTTCTCATATAATTTATAGGTTGTGTGGGGTCTATGTTCTCCAATTCCACATTCCATAACATGGCATTTATTCACATAATTTATTCCACTTGTGGAAGGTGGCCCCAAGCCCCAAGGGCAGTACTTACAGGGCACCTAGGAAAGGGAACCCTAGGCGCATGCAGCCCTGGAGAAGTACTGGAGAATCACTCCCAGTTCACGCACCACCTAGAAAACAGACACCACACTCTAGGTACAGTGCTGAAACAACCACTGGAGCCGGAGCACATAACCGGTGCCTATAGCATCAGCCGAAGAACTGATGGGTGGATAGCCGGTGTGGGAGGTCTGGGTGCTCCCCCTTCCCCCTCCCGGGGAGGGGGGAGCAGACAGCGGCGCGGTGACGTGTGACGTCATACTAGTTTGCTTGTTTTCTGTTGAGTTCTATCCACTAGTTCGGCTTTAGGTAGCAATTTTCACCAGAATAGGGGTTTGTTTTGGAATGCTTACCTTTCTGGATGCTTGACCCGGTCGATGGCAGACATAGAATGCTTCCAACCACACGGGGGTTTCTATAGGCCATTGCTCCCCTTGCCTCTCTGAGGGGGCCAGGTTCTGGCTGTGGTCCCCGGTAGGCCCTAGAACTCCATACACATGACTGATGCCAAAGTCTGACATTAGCATATCAGCCTGGTAAAGCTCCGGGGAGCTGATGGGGCTCCCTCCAGAAATCCTCTGTTCTAGCTTCATATACTTTCCAGTCTATGGATTTCAAGTTGAAGTCGCTGACTATCAACAGTTGTGATCTATCTTTATCCGCTCTTGCTATAATCTCTCTCATTATTGTTATAAGACCCTCTCGTTTACTATCTAGCTCCTCCTTTGTCCATATGATGCTTGGTGGTGGACTATATGCATTTATGATCATTAGTTTATCATCCTCATGGCAGATCTCTAGTGCTATTACGTCAACTTCTCGTGGATTGGCAATCATTATTTCGTTCACCTTTAGGTGTTCTTTCACCAGCACAGCAACACTACTGCCTTTCCTAATTTTTCTGTCCCGTCTCCAAATTTAGTAACCCCTTCAGAATATGACCTCATTTAAAATAACATATTCAAGTTTTGTCTCTGTGAGTGCAACAATGTCTGGTGTCTGTAGCTGTATTACATCACTTAACTCCAGTATCTTCGATCTCACTCCATCTACATTGGTATATACTATTTTCAGGAACATGTTCCCCCTCTCCTTATTCTTCACTACCCCCCTCTCTAGCAATTTTGTTGGTTTGCCTTTTTGCACCATTTTACAGGCCTGCCTACCCCTATCACTTTGTTGAAAAAAAGAATTGATTTCTTCTTCATTTCTGCTCTCATTTTGACGTTTTGCCTTTACGAGGTTTAGTTTCAGCTTCTCTCTGTCTTCTCTTGAAAGATCTCGTCTTAACGACCACACTTTCCCATCCTCATCACTTTGTCATTTTCTAGCATTCCTTAGTACTTCTTCCATCTGTTTGGCACCATTTAGGGTGATCCTCAAAAGTCGATCTTTCCCTTTTACGTACCTGCCTATTCTTCTGTAGTCGCAGACATTCTCTATGGTAGTAAGACCTTCCACGAAGCTAACAATTTTATCTACTACTTTCGCTTCTTCTACAGATCTTTCTGACCTAGATGTTATCTCCTGTTCTCTGCAACCAAAAATTATCAGGGACTTAGTCCAATCAACTGTGTTTTGCACCCACTTCGGGTTAGATGCACATTCCTTTCTCACTTCCAGCCTAATGTTTGTTTTATCCTGGTTGCTGCAGTGTTTGGCTTCCTTTAGTGCTTCATCAATTTTTTCCTTCTCCTTGGCCACTTGTGCATAGGTGAGTTGCATATCTTTCTTGCACTGTTCTATTCCCTGTATAACTTCCTCCATCTGTACTGACAAAAGCTGTTTCTCCTGTTGAATTTCCTTACCTAACCTATTGTAGTCATTTATGTTTAAATATGCTTTAACTTCTTCCAGAGCTATTTTTAAGAGTTTATTTTCCTCTTCCATGTCATTACAATTTGTTTCCAATTGATTCTTGTCCTTGCACAAATCTTTCACTAAACCCTCAAGACATAAAACTTTGCTACACAACTGGTCATTACTTTCTTTCAATTTGCTGATTATTTCTACATGAGAGTTCACTATAGTATCTAATTTTGCCAACTAGTTGTGTAGACTGCTTATATCAATGCTATCTTCATTGAATCCCCTAAAATCAAGCTCTGTTTTGTTTTTCCTCTTGCCGGCGGCCATCTTGAATGTTCTTGTCTGCACTGGAAACACTAGGGCAACTTTTTCTCGCGCAATTTTCTCATCCCATTCTGTGTGTGTAGGCTTATTCGTCCTCGACTTAACAAAGAAGATTGGATGTACTGTCTCATGTGATAATTAGATTAGGACAATAAAGCACAATTGAATTAATGTTTCTTTAAGAAAATTGAATAATTATATATATTTATTGTAAATATGTTAACCAACTCTTACAGGTAGATAGAGATCCTCATACACAAAGACATGACCCCAGCTCCATAGCAGACCAGAATCTCAAGGACCAGGCAGTGAATGATGGGAGTAGGTTGCAGTGGGAGGTCCAACCAGAGTGTTTGCCAGGTCCTAGTGGGTGGCAACCCATGGAGGCATCAGAAGCGGAGAGCCAAGATGAGTCTGATGCTCCTGGCGGCAGGTCTGACACAGAGACATCCAAGACACAGATGATTGCTAGGACTGGTGAACGAAGTCCCCTGAAAATCCACATCACCTCTTTGGTTAATAGCTTGTTCCATTTCTGAATCCAAGTTAATTGTATTTTTTTATGAAATATAATATATGTTTTAAGTGTTGTTATTAACTTGCATCATATTATTCAAGTGTTGTTATTAACTTGCATCAACAAAAGAATACATCTTCTTGATCTAATTTATTAAATCGGTCACATAACAATATTAATACTTTTGACAGGCAATGAATAGTGAGGGGAAGAAATATGCTCCAAAGAAGAGAAAATGTAGCTTATATGCAGAGACTCGAGGCCAGACAGTGATCACAACGTATCCGCGGGGTGAGCATCAATTATTGCTTCAACAATAGGTATTTCCTCCAAGTTTCCTGCTTGGAAGTTGATTTTACGACTAGACAGCATAATATAGGGGCCTGACAGCTGAGTCGACAGCACTTCGGATTCGTAGTCCTGAGGTTCCAGGTTCGATTCCCGGTGGAGGCGGAAACAAATTAGCAGAGTTTATTTCACCCTGATGCCCCTGTTACCTAGCAGTAAATAGGTATCTGGGAGTTAGACAGCTGCTACGGGCTGCTTCCTGGGGGTGTGTAACAAATAGGAGGCCTGGTCGAGGACCGGGCCGCGGGGACGCTAAGTCCCGAAATCAGCTCAAGATAACAGCACCAATTTCTGAGTTAAGGGATTTCTCTATTTGCCTACTCAGTTTGAGTATGCTTCTTTGTTTCCACTACAAGTTGGGATCAGGACGTACATCAATGGTGTTTGATGACTATCCGATACTCCAAAGCTGTTTCCAGTTTCGCCTCCCTGCTGTTGAGCCTGGACAGGATGTGAAGCTTTATCTGTTCAGGACAGGTCATCTGAACTTAACCTTACTCTGCTCCAGTTTGGTTCTTCATCTACCTCCTGACTTTTGTTTCAAGTCCCTGGTTCCTCTTGGCACTCTCTCAGGGGAATTTTTTTTTTTTCTTCCAGATGTGGCTGTCCATTTACAGCACTCACTAACACTTATCATACGCATTTTTGTCGGTGCTCTGTGAACAAATTTAGGGATCTGTTACACTATATATAGTGTAGGAATTGCTATTGAGTACTCAACCACAGAAGGTAATTGAATTGTTTTTACAATGGCATATTACAGTGCTAATTGGTCTAATAGGTTTCTCATCCCAGACTGGCAAACCAGGTACATTTCTGGGGGGAGCCCCGTCGGCTCCCCGGAGCTATCCAAGCTAATATGCTAATGTCAAACTTTGGCATCAGTCATGTGTATGGAGTTCTGTGGGCCTACCGGGGACCACGAGCCAGAACCTGCTTCCCTCACAGAGGCACGAGGAGTAATAGCCTATAGAAACCCCCATGTGGTTGGAAGCATTCTATGTCTGCCATCAACCTGGTTAGCCACCCAGAAAGGTAGGCATCCCAAAACAAACCCGTATTCTGGTGAAAATTACTACAAAAAGCCGAACAAGTGGATAGAACTCCCCAAACAGAAACGAGCAAATGAGTATGACATCACACGTCGCCGTGCCACCGTCTGCGCAGCTTCCACCTCCCTGGGAGGGGGAAGAAGGAGCCTCAGACCCCTGTGCTGGCCATCCACACCTCAGTTCTGAGGCTGATGCTATAGGCAACGGTCGTGTGTTCTGGCTCCAGTGGTTGTTTCAGCACTCTACCTTGTGTGTGGTTTCTGTCTTCTAGGTGGTGCGCGAGCCGGGAATTATTCTTCAGTACTCGGGCCAGGTCGACCGCAGGGTTCTTAACACTACGCACTCACTATCGCACTATTGCCTCTCCCCGAAGTCACTCATTTTTCTCTTGAGTCATCTCGGGTGACTCGGCCTCGAGTCACTCATTAAAATATTTGTTAAAAATTTTAATTTTATCTGATCAATCTGGGAGTGGTTTCAAAATGAGTGCCTTTAGATTGTGCACAATTTGATACCAAAATGAAAGACGTAACACAAAAATTGATGTCAGAACACTGGAAAGATATAAATAATTTTTTGGTGATAAACGTCCAAAAGTTAAAATATTTGTTAAAATTCCATTTATTGTTCAATTATTATGGGACTTGTTTTAAAATACATGCCTTTATATTGCGAACAATTTGATACCAAAATGAAAGACGTGATGCGAAAATTGGTGTCAGAACACTGGAAATATATAAATACTGTAATTTTGTGGTGGTGAGCATACAAAAGTTAAAATATTTGTTAAAATTCCATTTATTGTTCTATTATTATGGGACTAGTTTTAAAATATGCGCCTTTATTTTATGAACAATTTGATAACAAAATGAAACACACAATACAAAATAAAATTATCAAACTGAAAGAGTAAGTACATTAGTCTGCAGGTATGCCAATTGGTGCTCGTTCACAGGTAACTAGGCCTTCTTTAGGCTTTGCTGTGGGGAGTCATGCTGGGTTTTTAGACTTTATATGCATATACCCCTGTAGAGAATTCTATTGCGAACACAATGATACCAAAACGAATGATGTAGCATGAGAATTAAGGTGAGAAAACTGAAACGAGCATACACATTTTGGTGTCGCCGCACACTCGCCTGCACTGTCGGGAGAAGAATTAATAGTCTGCGGCGCGCCCGCACCATGCGCAATAGTGTTAAGGTTAGCCAGCCTGCAGTCTATCCTCGCGCCCGTGCCGTTCGGAAATTTGCAGCTTTCGGTGCCGTGTTTGGTAACATGTCTTGTGCTCCTGGCTGCCCGTTATTTTGTGAGCATGTCTGCTCCTGGCTGCCCGTTATTTTGTGAGCATGTCTGCTCCTGGGCATTCTTGAGTTGCTTTGGGTTGCAAGTTGCAACCTGTTGTCTCGACTTCGCGTTGCGGAGTTTTTGAAGGCCGCATCCTGGGTCAGCCCTTTCTTTTCCTTCTCTTTGGGTATGAAGCTCCAGGGAGCCGTAGAGGCTCCCCACAGAAAACCAGCGTTGAATGTAATAAAACGCCATTTTCTGGGTGAGACCCTAAGGCTCCCTGGCAACCCCTCCTCCCACCGGTCGGCGGTTTTTTCGCATTTGTTGAAGCTTAGCTTCTGAATTGGAGTGTAATTACCTAAGTGTAGTTACAGGATGAGAGTAAGAATCGACTTGTGTTATGAATCGAGTGTTATGCAGCCGGCGCAGTGAGGTCCGGGGCTCCCCCCCTCCCCCTCTCAGGGAGGGGAGGGCTGCGCGGACGCGCGCCGCGGTAGTAGTGCGTTACGTTTGCTTGTTTCCTTGGGATTGTATGGAGTTCTACCTCTCTGTTTGGTTTTGTAGTTAGATTCTTACCATGTGGGGTTTGTTTTGTTATGCCTACCTTTCTTGGTGCCTAACCCCGGTCGATGGCAGATAAGGAAAAACCCCAACCACAGGGGGGTTTTCCAGGGCCATTCCTCTCTGCAACCTCTCTGAAGGGGCTCATGGTCCCTGGTAGGTCTGAACTCCATAGCTAATGTCACGGTCTAATATAACATACATTAGCCCGATAAGCTCTAGGGAGCCTCCAGGGCTCGCCCAGAAAATGGCATTTCATTACATTCAACGCTGGTTTTTTATACGTTATATTGGTTAGAGATCTGTTATGTTCCATACAGTGCAGTGATCATTTGAGCACTCAGAAATATATTAAAGTGCTTTTACAAACTCAAGTTATAATTGCGGACAGCACGCTGGACTTGTGATCCTGTGGTCCTGGGTTCGATCCCAGGCGCCGGCGAGAAACAATGGGCAGAGTTTCTTTCACCCTATGTCCCTGTTACCTAGCAGTAAAATAGGTACCTGGGTGTTAGTCAGCTGTCACGGGCTGCTTCCTGGGGGTGGAGGCCTGGTCGAGGACCGGGCCGCGGGGACACTAAAAGCCCCGAAATCATCTCAATTTAACCTCAAGAATTACACCAATATTTGACATAATTTTTTCATTAGTTAATAAATCTTGGGTGCAGGTCCAGTATATTATCAAGTGTTATAGTATTCAGATAATATTTAGTGCTACAGCGTCCAAGTCGTTGTCACGGCTAATGAAACATCTATGTTGTTTTCTGCTCCTGGCCATTGGATCAGAGGAGCAACTAAGACATCAATTCAGAAATTCATTTTTTTGTTTCCCACAATGCCTTTAATTTCACATTGTCTTATTGTTTTGAGATGATAATGGGCAACTAAATTTTGAATAGGTTTATTGAGCAAATGTCTTGGCTTATGCAGGTAAGGCTAAAACTGGGCGAGTAGTGTCTGGTGATGAGCCAGCTGTAGCAGCAGTGCTGGACACAAAGCCAACTGGACCAGAAACATTGGACACATTGCCGGCTGCAGCAGCCGGTCATAATTCAGAGCCTAGCCAGCAAACTGCGCCCTCTTTGACACCTTTGAAAACTGCACAAGGTCAGAGCCAAGAGAAACAACACCAGCCAAGAAGGTGAATATAACAAATTAAATAGTAGCATGTGTAGGGCCCACATATCTACATGTTCTTGTTTATGATGTATGTCAATTTGGGGTAATAATTCCTTGTCCTTCCATTCAGTATTTTTGTACTAATGTGAATTCCTTATGTGTATAAAGTTTGTACTTTCAAATATTTTTAATTGAGTTTGATTTATCTCAGAAACTTGGATAAAGTAACTTGTAAACATTTCCTGCTCCTGCAGATGTGCATCCACTGTAGATTTTGTTGGAAAAGCTGCAGATGATGAATATACATAATGTATACAAAATTTCCACTTCCATATCAGAATTTTGTATGGCATTAAGTACATGTATTTTTTTTTCCACTTCCTGAAGAATAATTTCTCCCATCCACTTAGGACTGCAGACTTGGTATGTCATATGCCATATCAATTAGATGGGGATCAAAAATCTAAATTTTAATTTCAAAGTTACTTATTTTATATTCCAGAGTTCAGTCACAATAGTCTTATCTTAACCACTGCACTGCGCAAAGCGCCTTTAGGCGCTTTCAGAGTTGTGCTATTTCTATTAATTAGGCTATATGTTAATGTTTTCATTACTCTGTGATTTTAAATGGAAGTTGTTGAGTTTGGAAACATTTTGACATTAACTTTACCTAAACATTTATTTAAACAACAAAAATATGTCCTTGACAATTGCACTAAGAAGTTTTTGCCGAAAACAGGTGCGCAGTGCGGTGGTTAAACGTGATTTTTTATTAATTTTCAAAGTTCTCCACCGACTTACATGTGCACAGAAATAGTGCTTAACACAAAGGCCCTGTGCAAACAATATTTGTAATTTTGCAGTATGAGTGCTCAGTCGCGGGGACATACTGTGTATGCTATTCATACGACGGAACTTAAAAATGAAAAGTTAAATGCCTTGTTCTTAAAAAGCATTCTCTCCACAGATTACTGAAAGATGAAGAAGCACGTGAACACAGTGAAAACTTGTTGTTCCATAGAATGTTGTCTATCTTTTACTATCCTGCCCTGATGACCATTGTCAGGTAAGCGTGTTCTCCAGTCCTTTGACATTTACCAGTATAAATGTTTTATCTAGTTGCATGTATTTCCTCCTTTGACAAATGAGGGAAGCCTGGAGTTGTGAAGACATTTTGAATATTGATAACATAGAGGGGCAGGTGCTGAAGGAGTCACTGGAGAAATCCATCAATTCAACCCAGACTTGGTCATCCATTAAGAGATCGATCTATAAAAAAAACAAAGCCCTTCCTTGGCATTGCAGGTTCTTCAATAATATTTATTCAATGAATGTTCAAAGTAAAGTGTAATTTCTGTGTAGAACCATCACCTGAATTTTTATGTGGGGAGCCCCTATGGCTCCCTGGAGCTTATTGGGCTAATGTACTTTATATTAGACCGGGACATTAGCTATGGAGTTCACAGCTACCAGGGACCAGAGCCGGAACCTGGCCCCTTCAGAGAAGTTCCAGGGAGCAATAGCCCTGGAACCCCACCCCCCGGTGTTGGGGTTTTTCTTTATCTGCTATCGACAAGGGCTAGGCACCCAAAAAAGGTAGTCATAACAAAACAAACCCCACATGGTAAGAAACTAAAACAAAAAAATGAACAGAGAGGTAGAAACTCCCTACAATCTCAAGAAAAAAGCAAACAAGCAAACATCACACTTTACTGCCGTGCCACTCGTCCGCGCAGCCCTCCCCTCCCTGAGAGAGGGAGGAGGGGGGCCCTGGACCTCGATGCGCCAGCTGCATAGCACTCCAGTTCATAAGCTAATGTTAACCGGAACAGTTGCTTCTCTGGCCTCAGCTTCCTAGGCGGTGTTTGCCTTCATGGCGTTCACTGCCATGTTTTGTGTTGTGCGGTGGCCAGGTGTTCCTCATCAGTACCAGGGCTGCATGCGCTTAGGGGCTTCCTTTCCTAAGTGCCCTGTGAGTACTGCCCCTGCGTGACAGGGTTATCATCCCTGGGGCGTTCGGGAACCATTCCCCTTGAGGTTCTTGCTGCTCGGCATTTGCCTCGCCCTTGGGGTCAGCTGGGGCTTGGGGCCCTTGTTTGGCCTTGGGTAGGGACTGGCATTGTGCTGGTTAGGGTGTCAAGGTGTTGCGCGTCCTCCTACCTACACGGCGACCGGTTCCTGTTTCCTCTGGGGGGACAGTGTACTTTTGCGGGGGGGGGGGTTCTTTTGTTTTTATTTTAATTTGCCTGGTGGGGGTCTGCTTAGTGTGGCTATAGTTCCACTGGTAGTATTTGGTGGCCTTCTGCTAGGCCCCCATTATTGTACACGTCGCAGGGGTTTTCAGTGCAGTGTTGGCATCTATCCCTTGTTAGTTTTGGGTGTTAACCGGTTAACACCGCCTTGCCCGGGCTTCCCGTAGCAGTCAGTCTACGAGCCCTGGAAAACTCTGTCGGGGCTCGGTGGACCACTGGATGTGTCTTCCGGGTTCCATATCGCCTTGTGCAGGTTCATTGGTAGCTGTCCCCTTGTCTCAGTGTGACAGTCGCCTATTTTACCTCTGTCATGCTACCTGTAGGGTCACTGACACCTTGACACGGAGTCTTGCGAGATGTGTTCTCTGCTTGTTCTCCAGTACTCTTCTGATGTCCTTACGGTTCACAGTACAGGCGGCATCCGCGTTGCAAGCTTGGTTTAGGTTGCTGCAACGCGCTAGGTTGGTTCCCACCTGGATGCCCCAGGGCCGCCTCGTTTTGGTTAGGTGTTGTTCACCCCTTTCCTGGTTGATACCTGGTTGATGGGGTTCTGGGAGTTCTTCTACTCCCCAAGCCCGGCCCGAGGCCAGGCTTGACTTGTGAGTTTGGTCCATTAGGCTGTTGCTTGGAGCGGCCCGCAAGCCCACATACCCACCACAGCCTGGTTGGTCCGGCACTCCTTGGAGGAATAAATCTAGTTTCCTCTTGAAGATGTCCACGGTTGTTCCGGCAATATTTCTTATGCTTGCTGGGAGGGTGTTGAACAACCGTGGACCTCTGATGTTTATACAGTGTTCTCTGATTGTGCCTATGGCACCTCTGCTCTTCACTGGTTCTATTCTGCATTTTCTTCCATATCGTTCACTCCAGTACATTGTTATTTTACTGTCTAGATTTGGTACTTGGCCCTCCAGTATCTTCCAGGTGTATATTATTTGATATCTCTCTCGTCTTCTTTCTAGTGAGTACATTTGGAGGGCTTTGAGACGATCCCAATAATCTAGGTGCTTTATCACGTCTATGCGTGCCGTATATGTTCTCTGTATTCCCTCTATTTCAGCAATCTCTCCTGCTCTGAAGGGGGAAGTGAGTACTGAGCAGTACTCAAGACGGGACAACACAAGTGACTTGAAGAGTACAACCATTGTGATGGGATCCTTGGATTTGAAAGTTCTCGAAATCCATCCTATCATTTTTCTGGCTGTCACAATATTTGCTTGGTTATGTTCCCTAAACGTTAGGTCGTCAGACATCATTATTCCCAAATCCTTTACATGCTGTTTTCCTACTATGGGTACATTTGATTGTGTTTTATACCTTGTATTATGTTTAAGGTCCTCATTTTTACCATAGCTGAGTACCTGGAATTTGTCACTGTTAAACATCATGTTATTTTCTGATGCCCAGTCGAAAACTTTATTAATATTAGCTCGTTTACTCATTTCTTTTAGGGGAGTTTCTATCCACTTATTCGGCTTGTGGTAGCAATTTTCACCAGAATAAGGGTTTGTTTTGGGGCGCTTACCTTTCTGGGTGCCTAACCCGGTCGATGGCAGACATAGAATGCTTCCAACCACACAGGGGTTTCTATAGGCCATTGCTCCCTCTTGCCTCTCTGAGGGGGCGAGGTTCTGGCTCGTGGTCTCTGGTAGGCCCATAGAACTCCATACACATGACTGATGCCAAAGCCTGACATTAGCATATCAGCGTGGATAAGCTATGGGGAGCTTCCGGGTCTCGCCCAGAAAATGGCGTTTCATTACATTCAACACTGGTTTTTTGCTTGTTTCCTTGGGATTGTAGGGAGTTTCTACCTCTCTGTTCAGTTTTTTGTTTTAATTTCTTACCATGTGAGATTTGTTTTGTTATGCCTACCTTTCTGGATGCCTAATCCTGGTCGATGGCAGGTAAGGAAAAACCCCAACCACAATGTAGTTTTCCAAGGCCATTGCTCCCTGAAAACTCTCTGAAGGGGCCAGGTTCCGGCTCTGGTAGGTCTGAACTCCATAGCTAATGTCCTAGTCTAATATAAAGCACATTAGCCCGATAAGCTCCAGGGAACCTCCGGGGCTCACCCCGAAAATGGTGTTTCAGTTCATTCAACGCTAGTTTTATGTTTTAGTGGTATAATGTTGTACGTCGATGGATTGTCCCTTCCGGACAACCCACCAAAATCTCTAGAGTGCTTGTATTTTGATCAGGAGATCATCCTGTACGCTTCCTGCTCTTGGAGAGGGGATCAGCGTCACACATTTAGGGGGTGCGGCTCCAACACTAGCCTCGTTGTCAGGTGCACACACACAAATCAAGCCGCTGTGACTCACTTCGGAAGTGAGTAATAATCAACGAAGTAGCCCATGGTACACAGCACGACTTCGCTCTCAGTGCACCAGGTACAGATAAATTTTCACTTCCTGTGTCTTCATTCTGTGTGCTTGCAAACAACGCACTCACATACACCCTTGGCTTTAGTACTTGTAGGTTGTATGTAGCCAAGCTTGTAAAGCATAAGGTAGTATTGAAAAGATTGTAGGAAAAGATCAATTTGTAAGGTAGTCTTGAAAAGATCGCTTTGTATGGTCCCACACAGGAAGATATTCAGCTTACCTCAAGAGTGTCTGTCAGTGAGAGAGAGATTCAGCTAGCCTCAAAGAGTGTCCGTCAGTTAGGAAGAGATTCAGGTATTCTTGAAAATATCTATGGAAAACACCACCATGGAAGCTGCTAACACTGTTTATCTACGCTATTTGTATCAGATGCATCATCACTGAACGCAGAAAACGATTCATCTATGTATCTTCTAAATAAATTGTAGATAGCATAGGATTGCAAGGGTGACGCTCAGAGCTACAACTGTATATGCTTGCTGTATCGTCCTCATAGGTGCTGTATCACTTGCATCCGACCTTTGTGTTAGGTCCTTATTGCGCCTAGCTTCACTAATATTATAACCCTTATGTTCTTCAAACAATAAGGTTTGAATTTCACCGACAGAGCGTTATCTTTCAACACCGTGTCGCGGACAGGTGTTTGGGAGCCAGAGGCGCGTGCGCCACCCATGGTTACTCATTCAGTACTAACCCAGCCAGCAGCCCTAGGGCATTCTAGGAATTTTTTCCAAGATGGCTGCTTCTCACTGGAGGTCCTAAGAGTCCATTTCGTACACAACCAACCTCGTACACATTTAGAATTGGTACCGAAAAATCAAGAGTTTTCTCGGTTGGCACAGTTTCCCGCTGACCGAGAATACTCGGTTGGCGCAGTTAAGTGGTTAATGCCCTAACATGGTTACACATATTTATCTTACATTATATTTATTTAAGCTTCTAACTACACATTCTGACTTAATGACAGCAAAATTTTCTTTTCTTCCAGACCCCCTTGGGAGCGCATATTGCAAACCGAGTGGATGCTTTCAGAAGGTGAAGGGACGAAAACTAAAACCCATAATAATAAGCCAAAAAAGTCAATGCTTACCAAAGATGAATTGGATATTGAGGTTTGTTTTCAGTTTCTAGTAGTTACCATATTAATTAGGAATTCTGGTAAACACTCCTTATGGAATAAAAAAAAATTCTGGAAGGGGCCTGTCCTCTCAGTAGTTTTCAGAGTTTATGCAGTGATACTGCCAAGCTTAAAGAATTGCACCAGGCCTCTAAAACCCACCGCTTTGCCTACCAGAGGCCTGGACCAGTATCTGGCTCTCCCTAAGAGGCAAGGGAAGCTTGAGGATCAGATATTAACACAAACCTGAGGAAAACCTGCCATAAAAAATGAGTGACATCTTGAAGAAAATTTGTAACCCTGTGAAAAAACAAGGCAAACAATCATTACCACAGGATAAATACACCAGCTGCAATACTTGCCCCCATCTATCATACGTACTTATATTAGGCTTGCATTCAACTTTTTGTTTTCAGAAAAGTGGTGTTGGATATCGCCGGAACATCTCGTTCTGCATGGGGCCATTGATTTGTCTTATTTCCTACTTCATATTTGTTTAAACCACCTGCCTTGCATCTGCAACCAAAAGTGGTAAATGTGACCAAGGGGTCTTAGTGACCCCTTTGTTGCTACCCCTGCCATGGCCACCCTGGTCACCCTGTCCACCATACCTACCCTCTCCACCCTGTCTACTGTGTCAACTATGTTCACCCTGCCCTCCCGAGACATTGTTCATACACACCAGGCTCTCATTGACTCAAAGCAAGCCCCAGTGTGACAAGCAGCTTTTCACATTGTCTTGTCACATAGTTTAGGGACAATGATGCAGTGGAGAGCAAAACTCAGTCACACCACCAAGAGATATAATTTGCTATAAAACCACAGAAGAGATCAAACCTCTCAACACCTTCATGCAGTAGTTGTCAACATAAGGAGGGACAATTATTTCTCGGCAAATTACTTAGAAAACAAACTGACAATGAATATGGCACTGCAGAGTTGGAGAAGCTGACAACCTTCATTTAAGTTTCATTACAACCAAAAACTCAGGAAAATCAAGACCTAAAGGGGCAAGAATGCAAGTGATGGAGAGGCCACACACAGAGAAAATGACATTTCAATCCTCTAGATGCCTATTTTAGAGCAGGGACTCATCAATCAGTGGTGAGGGGAAGCCACCAGTTATGAAACTAACTGCTGTGTGAAGGCACTGTAGTCCCTATGGTAGAAATAGAGCTTGTAAATGCTTTCTGTGGTAATTCTGGAGCTCCTTAACACCAATATGACAGCAGCAACATTCTGAATATATCATTGCTGCCATTACAAAATGTTAGCCTTCTCTGAATTATGTATCTGTCCAGTAAGACATTCATTAAGTTTGCCCTATTGAGCATCAGTGTGCCATTCTTGGACTGGATCTTTTCATATTCACTCAAGTTTGCTCTTTTTAAACAAAATAGTTTGCTAATGACAGTTCAACAATTTATACTGTATTGTATACATTTCCAGGAGCAAGAGGAATATATACGTCGGCTGGCAGAAGAAGATAAAAAATATCGGGCATTGATGAAATATCAAAGACGTCTTCGAACGTTGTCTACCAACAGCTCGCCAGAGAGAAAGCCAGACTCTCTAGAAAGTATGGAAACGGAAAACATACCGGCATCCATTCATGACAGCTCGATGGGAAACTTGGCAAAAAAGAGGAAAGAAGCTAAAGAACTGGCAGATCATCAGTCTGAGGAAGCACAGGCCTCTTTGGAGGAAGTAGATGCAACACCTACAGTCTGCCCGAGGTGAGGTTAGAAAAGGAAAGTAGTGGCAGAGTGAGGAAAGTGATAATTACACTCAGGTTATTGCAAAAATATCACACCCAATTTCTTAATTTTTTGTCATAATTTCTGGGGGGAGCCCCGTCAGTTTCCTGGAGCTATCCAGGTTGAATGGATAAGTATAACTTTCAGTCAATGTGCACAGAGTTCTTGCCTACCGAGGACCATGAGCCAGAACCTGGCCCCCCTCAAGAGAGTCACGAGGAGCAATGGCCTATAGAAATTTCCCATATGGTTGGGAGCATTCTGTCTGCTATCGACCGGATCTGGCACCCAGAAAGGTAGGCGCCCCAAAACAAACCCCTATTCTGGTGAAACTATTGCTACCAAAACCCGAACGAGTGGACAGAACTCCCCAAACGAAAATTAGCAAACAAACATGACGTCATCATGTCACCGCTCTGCTGTCTGCACAACCCTCCCCCCCTCCCCTACCCAGTAGGGGGAAGGGGGGCCCCAGACCCCCATGCCAGCGATCCACTTTGGATCGCCAGGGATGCGCTTTGGGTTGATCCGATTTTCCTTTTTCCCTGTTCCCGGGCTTGGGTCTTCCAGGTTGTCTGCAGGATTATTGATGCTAGCCAGCCTGTGGTCTATCCTCGTGCCCACAACGTGCGTAAGTTTGCTGCTTTGGCTGCCATCTTTGGCAACATGTCTTGGGTTGACATTTGGGCACGGGGTTTTTGGAGGTCAAACAGGGTCTTGGCTGCTCGCCACCTTATCAATGTCCCTGGTCCTCGTAGGGTCTGCGTTGCATTGGGTCGTCAGTTACAGTCAGTTCTCTCGGCTTCTCGTTGAGGAGTGAGGACTGACCGCCGTCCGGGTAAGTCCCTGTTTTTCCTTGTCTTTGGGTAATTGGCTCCGGGGAGCCAATGGGGCTTTCCCCAGAAAACCTGCGTTGAATGTAATGAAATGCCATTTTCTGGGCGAGTCCCGGAGGCTCCCCTGCATCCCTCCCTCCAGTCAGAGGTGTTTTTGCGTATTTTGACATCCAGCCTAAGAACTGAAGGGTGGATCGCCTGCGTGGGAGTCTGGGGTTCCCCCTTCACCCTCCTGGGGAGGGGGGGTTGCGCAGACAGCAGCGCAGCGACATGAAGAAGTCGTGTTCGTTTGCTAATTTGCGTTTGGGGAGTTCTGTCCCACTCATTCAGCTTTTGGTAGCAATAATTTCACCAGAATAAGGGTTTGTTTTGGAGCGCCTACCTTTTTGGGTGCCAGATTCGGTCGATGGCATTGAATGCTCCCAACCACATGGGGGGGCTTCTATAAGCCATTGCTCCTTGTGCCTCTCTTGAGGGTGCCAGGTTCTGGCTCATGGTTCCCGGTAGGCAAGAACTCCGTGCACATTGACTGATGCCAGAAAATTATACATATGCATTCAGCCTGGATAGCTCCGGGGAGCCTCCGGGACTCGCCCAGAAAATGGCGTTTCATTACATTCAACGCTGGTTTTATTATGATAAAATATGGAGTGAGAGAAGGGGTTTATCACTTGCCTATCAAAACACTTTTCAATTGTTTTTGGCAACAAATTGGTTAGGTCTTAACTGTAGTTACTTAACAATATCATCCATATTAGTGAGTATGAGTAATGGAAATACATTTTTAGGTAAAAAAATTTATATCAAATATACTTTGCATCAAATCTAGCAGAGGACGAGGACGAGGACAAGGACGAGGAAGAGGACGAGGAAGAGGAAGAGGAAGTGGAAGTGGACGACCTAAACGTGGGTGTGGACGTCCTTTAGGAAGACCACGTATACGCCCACTTGAGGTCCCTCCGAGTCCTGAGCTTGTGGCTGAAAACTTGGAAGTACTTTCAATTCCACCAGGAGAATACACAGGAGTGTCAACATTTCGACGCAAGGAAAACCTTAAAAGCTTGCGAAGGTCACTTGTTATGAAGAAAGTAAGTTTGTGACATTTAAAGCAATATTACCTCCTCCATCTTTTGTTGTCACCCAACTGACTTTCCCTTAATAGTCAACAATACTTGCCAGATTTAATTTTCAGTTTCAAATTACAGTACAAACCTATACTGTATAATATTAAGGAAATAACAAATGACTATTGGCTTGCTGATCTCCAGCAGTAGTTAAGCTGATTCTACACTTCTTTTTCTTAAGGAGACTGTGTTGTCTCCTTATTATAGACTGATGGAAAAGAAGTTGAGTACTGTACTGTATTTTGAATTAGACATTTTTATCCTTGAGTTGGAAAAGCTTAATAAGAAACATTTTAGTATCTTCTCCTGATGTCAGATACTGACGAGTGTACATCATCATACTCAGTGTTCTATATTCATATCGTGGGGTTAAGAAGCCACTCGCCAAAAATGGGTGGAAGAGAATTATAGAAAATAATTCCGCGGCTGCAAAACTGACAGATACAGATTTCTTATGATCTTTGAGGTAGGCCTATATTGACACCACAATTTTGTGGTGTGATTTAGGTGTCTGACTGCCCTTTTTATAAATGTATAGCAATATCCCTTAGTATGTCAGCTCCATGAATAACTAACTTGGGTTGCCTTTCAGATCTGGGAAGGTCGTCGTAATGGATCTTTGCCTCCACGTACAAGCAATAGAGACAAGAGGAACTACAATCCACGAGGATCACGTACACGAGACAGAGTACGCAAGGAGCTTATCAAGCCACCAAAAACTCCAAACCCCTGGGATCTTCCTCTTGATGGTCCCATGAGAGTCCAGCCACAAGTGCCTCTTAACCAAGAGATACTTCAAGCAAAGTCACATTCATTACTTGTCAAACCACAGTCATCAAGCAATCAAGCATCAAGTTCACATCAAAATGTGAAGTCTTAATTCAAAATATTTTACTTGACTGAATATGTAAACTTATATGTACTTGTATTTTATCGAGTTGATGCTGCTAAAAGTTCGTAAATTTTTATTACTGAATTTTATTATACGCTGTTACAGTTACAAGTCGATTGGAAGGGAGCCCTATTATAGCCTAACACAAGTATGTCACCTTCTGTGCTTCATTTGAGCAGCAAATGATCTTATTGATATACAACATTAAGATTATCACTTCTACACAGTCATTAAATATGAAAGAATACAAGTGGTCTTCATATTTTTTATTGTACTCTTTTTTTTTTATTCTAATTTCAACTACTGTATTACAAATATCAGCTTCTTTATTTTGATTAGCAATTCTCATTTTATTTAATTTATATATTTTTCAAAGATAAAACTTATATTTTCATCAGCCTACTCTTCTTCTATTTTTGTATTCTTGCTTTTCAGCAGGACAGCAGACCACCTTATAATGTAACATTAAGAGCAGAAGTTCTGTTATGTGGAAATAAATGCTATATTTTGATTTGGTTTTAATTTAATTTGTGAGCATAAGTTAAACCTTATTTGTGAATTGGCTAAAATGTTGCCTGCTGGTATTTGACTGTATTTGGAAAGAAGTAGTATTGTGGTGTCCTTATGAAAGATTATTATAGTGTGGTATCTTTAACACACCTTTTATTTCTTCAAACATTCCATTACTTATGGTTGATGGCAGCCACATTAATGCTGCTTTACCCCTTTAAAGTAGAAAACGTGTAGATGAAGATGATGGTGATGACATGTTCTCCCACTGCTTGTTGCAATCTTTCTTCAAAGTTTGACTGCATTCGGTTTTTTTATTGTAAATTTTATAAATCAAAACTTTTTTGTAAGACCCCCCTTATCATCTTCCCAATGCTACTACTTGGAAGCAATCAAAATTTAAGGAAAATGTCATGATTCTGTGACACACAAATGCCTACTGGGAATCGGGAACCAGAATCTGGCCCACCTTAAAGAGGTTATGGGTTGTATGGGGTTCAGAGATCATCACAGTACCAAGAAGTTTGAACAGAAAGCAAACAAGAACAAGCACCTTGCAAAAATGTGTAACACTGATAATACAAACCATTGTTACCACAGAGAAAACATCACCTGGATGTACTTGTCTTCTGCTGTTAGACAGGGCCTTGTAATATCCTTGTTTCCTGCTGGGTATTCTGGGCCTTGGCTCTCAGGGCTCTGGTCCCTGCACCTGTTTCTTGGCCTCCCTCTGAGGTTTTTTGTGGTCACCTGGAGGTCTGGCACAGTGCTTTTTAGCTGAGCTTTTCTATACTACTGTGCTTGCTTTCCTTGGCACTTTATCCACAGCGTCCTTTTGGGGTCGTAGCTTTTGTGGACAGTTCTCCCTGGATGGTATCCTTTGACGCTGCCTAAGGCATCCCTTGGCCTCCGAACTTGTATTGTTCCTCAGCATTTGGCACACAGCTAATTCCTCCATGCCTCAAGCCATCATCTTTAATCCTGGTTGCCCTTTTTAAATATTTTTTCACACTCGGAAATTCTGGCCTCCTCTTTCAAGTTAATGGGTCCTCAATTGCTCCCCATTCCCACCCTGTTTTCTTTTTAGATGTGGGATGTAGTTCAGTTGAATGGGCTCACAAGTGAGGGAGCAGGCTGGCCTGGAGCCCCAGGTTACCTGGGGTACCACATAGTTGATGATAGTCAGACGCATCACACTGTATACCCAACACAAATGATCATTTGCCTCATTAATTTCTGGGGTGTAGGCAGACGAGGAGTCACAATAACGTGGCTGAAATATGTTGACCAAACCACACATTAGAAAGTGAAGGGACGATGATATTTCGGTCCGTCCTGGACCATTCTTAAGTTGATTGTGATCACTATCAACACAATCGACTTTCTGGGTGTAGCTTTTCTCAAGTAGTGTATTTTGATATATGTACACTTTTGGTGGGGTATTTCTCAGTTTCTAGGTTGATCTGATCCCCAAGTTTTCCTTACACAGGGAAAACCGAATTCTAGTCCTGGATTCGTATTGGCAAGGATCGGTCTTAGTGGCTTGGTGCTTAGCTTGGGAAGCCTCCAATAAAGGATGTTTCATTACATATAGCGCTAAATTTTTGTGAATTATAAAGAATTATAAAAGCATAAAAAATATTTGTAAAAACTGCCACTCAGTTTTGGGAAACAATTTTCCTGTGATCAGCTATTAGGTAAAATTGTTTTATAAGTTTACCATCATTAATATGTATACATTTTCTACAACAAACAAGTCAACAGAGAGAATGAAATTTGGAGTTATAACTATCAAAAACTTTACTAGCATCAATAAATATTTTTTGGACTTCTAAAAGCTTTGTGATTTGTCTGCTACAAAGAATTCCACTATTTGCATATTTTCTGAGGAAAATTGTATAAATATCATATTCTGGCTTATATTTCAAGCTAAACATGACAGTCTTTAAAAGTGACATGAAACTCAAAGAATTTATGATTTATGTTTAACTTTTTTTATTATTAACAAGCTTGGGTATATACAGCAATGTGCTAATACCCTGTTCTGTATGAAAGATTACTGAGTGTAGATCAAAAACTAGCTATCGGTTCATCTAATATTCTTGTCTCACGGGATGGTTAGTCATACATGGAATCAGGAGAGAACATGAAACACGAGGCTGGTGATCTATTAAACTGCACTGGCAAATAAATAATAAACAAAGTGTTAAAATAAATACCAAAATAAAAACATTCTGTAAAATAGTTGCATACTGTTTTTCTGAATGTATTTAAAATAACGTATTTCCGTACATGTCGCAGTAACAATTAATGCGGATAATGAGCATACCTAGAGGTCACCTTGAGGTGATTTTTTGGGCTTAGCAACCCCGCGGCCCGGTCATTGAACAGGCCTCCTCATTGCTGGACTGATCAACCAGGCTGTTTGACGCAGCTGCTTGCAGCCTGACGTATGAGTCGCAGCCTGGTTGATCAGGTATCCTTTGGGGGGTGCTTGTCAAGTTCTCTCTTGAACACTGTGAGGGGTCGGCCGGTTATGCTCCTTATATGTAGTGGAAGCGTGTTGAACAGTTTCGGGCCTCTGATGTTGATAGAGTTCTCTCTCAGAGTACTTATTGCATCTCTGCTTTTCAATGGCGGGTATTCTGCACATCCTGCCATGCCTTCTGGTCTCATGTGATGTTATTTCTGTGTGCAGGATTGGGACTAGCCCCTCTATTATTTTCCACGTGTAAATAATTATGTATCTCTCCCGCCTGCGCATAAGACAATACAGATTTAGTCGGTCACAATAATTTAGATGTTTTAGTGGATTCTAGCAGTAAAGGACCTCTGCACACTCTCCAGGTCAGCAATTTCTCCAGCTTTGAAAGGGGCTGTCAGTGTGCAACAGTATTCCACTCTAGAGAGCACTAGCATCTTGAAAAGTATTATCATCGGTATAGCATCTCTAGTGTGAAAGGTTCTTGTTATCGAACCTGTCATTTTTCTTGAAGATGTAATGGCTACTTTATTGTGTTCTTTAAAGGTAAGATCTTCCAACATGAGTACACCCAAATCCTTTACATTGTCTTTTTGTTCTATGTTATGGATTTGACTGCGTTTAGTATGTGGTTTCTGTTTTTATATTTTAATTTTTACTGTAGCACAGGAGCTGGTAAACACCATATTATTTTCTGTAGCCCATAGAAAGACCTGATTTACATCTGATTGGAGGTTTGCCATGTCCTCTTATGTTTTCTACTCTCATAGAAATCCTAGTGTCATCTGCAAAGGATGATACAGTACTATAGATTGTGTCCTTGTCTATGTCCAATACGAGGATGAGAAAAGTACTGGAGCAAGCACAGTATCCTGGGGGGACTGGACCTGATTTTATCTTGTTGACTATTACACACTGGATTGTGTTAGTCCGGAAATTGTAGATCCATCTGCCTATTTTCCGATAATTCCTTTTGAACGCATTTTGTGTGCAATAACACCATTGTCACATTTGTCAAAGGTATCCGGATGCACCATCCTGGCTAACACCACCACACTGCAGTCGTTAAACTTGAACATGTGTCCCTCAAAGACAAGAAACAGAAGACGTAATTTTTGTGCCCTGCAAATAGTTTTAAAAATTATTCAGGTCTGACATTTGAACTGAATTTTTAAGAGGTGATGTCTGTATTAAATAGCCAACTTCTCTATAACACACTTGCCAATTAAAGAAATCTGGCCATGAACTCAAGATCAGGCATATTGCTGCTAATTCTAAAATAATAGGAGCAAGATATATGTCATCCCTTCAAGACTCAATTCCTGTGAAACCATCATTCGGAAAATGTTACCCATTTAATACATTTAAAACATGCTCATTAAAAAAATCTTAATAAAAATTCAATGCATAAAAAACATGAACGATATTAAAAACATACTGTACTGTATATTCAAAATCATCATTACGCAAATCTCATGCATATACTGTACTATATTTATATAAAACTAGCTGTACCCGGCCACAGCATCCTTTCCGTCCCCGAGTCCTCCCCACCATTGGACGTAATATCAACCCATCCCCGAGTCCTCCCTCGGTTTGTTTTTCTTATTGACAAGCTTAGGAATGCACAGCAGGATGAGAGACTAGGCGTTAATAATAGTGGGGATGACGCCAGGCTGTATGTCTACTTTCATACCGCGGTATTTGTTATAATACTTTGTTCTTCATTTCATTTAAAACACAGACAAAACATCAACAAACATGTTATCTCTGAAAGAGACATCAACAAGCTGAGAACAACATAAGCCCTGAAAGGGACATCAACAGGCTGAGATGATCAACATGAACCCTGAAAGAGACGTCAACAGGCTGAAATGATCAACACGAACCCTGAAAGAGGCGTCAACAGGCTGAGATCATCAACACGAACCCTGAAAGAGACGTCAACAGGCTGAGCTCATCAACACGAACCCTGAAAGGGACGTCAACAGGCTGAGATGATCAACATCAATCCTGAAAGAGACGTCAACAGGCTGAGAAGATTAACGTGAGGTCTGAAAGGGACGTCAACAGGCTGAGATGATCAACATGAGCCCTGAAAAAAGACAACAGGCTTAAAAGATCAATATGAGCTCTGAAAAAGACGTCAAAAGGCTGAGATGATAACCCATGAACCCTGAAAGAGACGTCAATAGGCTTAGAAGATCAATGTGAGCTCTGAAATAGACGTTAACAAGCTGAGATGATGAAGATGAGCACTGAAAGAAACATCAACAGGCTGAGAAGATCAACATGAGCTCTGAAAGAGATGTCAGCAGGCTGAGAACATCAACATGAGCTCTGAAAGAGATGTCGTCAGGCTGAGAACATCAACATGAGCTCTGAAAGAGACGTCAACAGGCTGAGATGATCAACATGAGCTCTGAAAGAGATGTCAGCAGGCTGAGATGATCAACATGAGCTCTGAAAGAGATGTCAGCAGGTTGAGATGATCAACATGAGCTCTGAAAGAGATGTCG